GGCGCAGCTGAGGGCTGGGAGGGCAGCTGGCGTTCTAGGTAGAGACACTACCACCTGCAAAGACCCTGACGCTGAAATCACCTGGACGTGTTCACAAATGAAAATAAAGTGACGTTCAGGAAATGGACAGCGCATTTTAAGAAGGCAGCACCACATCCACAGTGTAACAAGTGTCTGCATCTTGCTGCAGTTTAGGTTTGCAGAGCTGTTGGTGAGGGTGCAAGGTGGCAAAGTGGGACCCTGAAGTCAGTACGAGGGCAAGAGGGGCATTCTTCACAGTGCAAAGGGCTTCAGCCTGTTTCTTTTGTAGAGGAAGACAGAACTCAGGTGGCTGAGTGAGGTGCTGGCAAATGAAGCTGGCCCCTCAGGAAGAGACCAAAACCCACCCTCCAACCATAATCCCACCAGGCTGGAGGGGGCAGGGGTTAATTAGGAAGTTGCCAGGGAGGAAAACAGGAGGCTTCCTCCAAACTCACACCTGGATGGCTTGCTCTCCTGCCAAAGCCCTATGTTCCCCACGGCCAGGGTCCAGCATGTCCTGCTGGCCCCGCCCCCTGCCCAGCCTCCGCCAGACTTCAGTCCCCAAGCACACAAACTGCTCAGCACACATCATAGATGTCGTTTCACTTTTATTAAATTATTAATGCCAATTTCCCTTCCCCAATAGTAAGCTCTACAAAAGGCCTGTATCTGGGATTTGCTCCCAAGTGCTTAGCACCAAGCTCAGCGTGTGATGGTTGCTCGAGTTTCTGTGGGACGGAGGAACAACCTAGAGTGCAAAGAAAGAGGAGGGAGGCAGACTGCAAACCAGAGCTGGTGACCAACTTGCCGGCCTCCAGTGTGGTCTGGACCATGGTGGGAGCTGGGGAAGTGACAGGGTGTGGGCAATGGCACAGCCACTCTCGGGAAGACACCCCGTTTTCCCTTGTGCTGTACTAACTCTAGACAGGGCCCTTCTCCAGCGCTTCCAACATCTGAGGAGCGACCCCACCTTAAATCCTCTCTGCTTGGAATACCTGGAGTGGGTGCTCTTTACCTAACCCTCAGGTCAACAACAAACTGGTCACTTTGTCCACGTTTGCTATATTCCAGGCAGTTTGCCAGGTGCAGTCTGTAGGGGAGCAAGGGAAGAGCAGACACAAACCTTGCTCTCAAGCAGCTCACAGTCCAACAGGGATGAGAAAATGAACCTCAGCATCCTGGGCAGGGCATTCCTGGGCCTTTTCTGCAGCAGGGCACACCACAAGCACCTTGAGTCCCAGAGGGGGACAACGCAACTACACCGACACTGAGCCCCCGCCACGACCCAGGCCCTGCAGGACTCCCAGGACAGCAGTCCACAGCCTCTGTGCTATCTGGCTCCTGGGAGAGAGACTGCATTTGGGCCTCAGTTCTGTCACTGGTATAATGGGCGTCCCCTGGTTGTGCTCTGATCTGAGATCCTGGAGAAGCACTGTCTGCCCAGGACAGGCCTGTCACGCGTGGTCTGTGGGAGGTGGTAATTGCAGCTACCACAACCGCTTCGCACAGCACCTGGCCTGCAGCAGGCAGCTGGTAAATGTCACCCACTACTCCCCATGGTAACAGTGCCCACAGAAGACTCTTGAGGACAGGAGAAGGCAGGCCCACACTGGCTGCTATGCACTGGAGCTGCTGGGTATGGGGTGGGCCCAGGCTGGAAGCCTCACTTACCTTGAAGATATGCCCTTAAGTCTTCAGAGGGCTTCGGGGGAAAGTCCTCTAGCAGGTCTTGGCCCAGGTAAGACAAGCTCTAGGCCTCAGCAGAGGAAGCGCTGCCCCACCACCACTCGGCCTAGGCTGCCTCCTTGGGACCCTCCCAAAGGACAAGGAGTGCAGTCGAAACAGTTGCTGGTGTGCATTTTCCTTTTCCCTTCCTCATGTCTTTAAAAAACCCACTCCCCTTGCTTGGCTCACTCCCTACCCCCAGTTTCTGTAAAGGCCTTTTGTGTTCAGCCACATCCAGGGTAGCCCACAGAGGCCTCAGCCTGGATCTAGCATTTAGGGGCTGTCACCACATAGAGTGGGCCCCATGCAGGGCACAACTGGTTCCAGCAAGATGTTCTCAGGACAGGAAGGTCCTGGGGACAGAAGGACACAGACCCTCCCTTTGAGGGCACAATGCTAGTGCAGCTCTAGAACCCTCCATTCTGGAACCTGCCCCTGCTTTCCTGGAGCCTGCCCTGCCCTGCACCAGTCCCTGGCTGTGTCAGGCCCGACCCCGAGCTCTCAGCCTTGGTCCCAGCAAGACTTCCAAAACGTGGCTGCAGCCCTGAGAGGGCACAGGTCCCACCTGGCCTCCTGTGGCCCTATCACCCCTGCCCCTTTGAAATAATTCAGGCCTCAGCCACATACCCCACCCCCTCCCCAAGACCCCTCATTGAGTGGGACAGCCCTGGCCCCTTTTGCAGTGTCCTGCTCTCCATGAAAGGCAGTGGCAGGTAAAAACTGGACCAACAAACCTTCATGGCGCAGGTGTGTGAGTGCAGGGACAAGGGCTATCTGCTCTCTTCCAAGAAGATTGGCTCCGGGGCCTTCTCCAAAGTCTACCTGGCCTACGCCACACAGGACTTCATGCAGCACAACCCCAAGCTGGCCTCTAGCTTGGCAAGGCAAGGCAAGCGTCACACCATGGAGAGGCAGCCCGCCTCCTCTCTGTGGCCTTGGGCTCAGGGTACCCTCTAACCCAGCTCTAGGGGGCCCTGTCCATCCCTACTGGGGTGCCTCCCAGCTGTTCCAGCTCCCTCCCAGTCCTGCACCCTCCCACAGGCTGACCACTTCAACTCTTCAAACCCCCAAGCACATAAGTGCCTGGGACAACCCTGTCCCCCAGGATTACCCTGCCTCACCCTGCCCAGTTTGGCTTGCGCACGAAAGACAGGGACCTGTCCTGCCCCAAGGGGCTGTGGTCTGCACACAGCGGCCACCCTTAGCCCCTGCAGGTGGCTATCAAGGTCATCTCCACCGCCAAGGCCCCTGTGGAGCTCTCCTACAAGTTCCTGCCCCGTGAGATCTCGTCACTCAACGCTACCTACAAGCACCTGAATGTGGTAGGCAGAGACCCCATGACAGCCAGCAAACATCCTGCCCATCCCTTGTGCCAGCCCTCACATCGCCTGCTGCCCACCCCAGGTCCACCGCCCCCATCCTGACACCCCAACCCAGGGCACTGCACGGCCCCTCCTTGCGGTGGCAGCAGGCAGCTGGGCGCTGTGCAGGTGCAGCTGTACGAGACCCATCACAACAGCCAGCTTGGTGCTGGAGCCGGCGGGCAGGGCAACCTGCTGGAGCACACCAAGGCGGTGTCCGACCACTGCTGCTGCCCGGGGCTGGAGGAGGCAGCCCGCAGGCTGCTCGGCAGCTGGTCGGCGCAGTAGCCCACTGACACAGCTCTGGCGTCGTGCACCGGTGAGGGCACAGCCCAGCCGGACCCCACCTGCATGGGGAAGCCCACCTGAGCCCAGGCCCAGCCCCACCTGCCCTTTCCCACGCAGGGACCTAAAATGCGAGAACATCCTGCTGGATGACTGAGGCCTCCTGAAGTTGACAGGTGAGTCTGTGGCCAGCCCTCTTGCCCTTGTGCCTGGGTGCCCTGATTCTTGACCCCAGCCACCCACCTTGCACAAGGCCCCTACACATTGGCATGCCTGCCAGGCCCTCTGCCTCCTCCCTGGTCTGCTCCAGACTAGACCCCAGCCTGGCTTGACCTTCAATCCTCCCAGAAGACCTCTACCTCATCCTTGCCCCCAGCCACCCTGCAGTTGACCCCAGGCCCACCACATAGTTGCCCCTCCCACTGAACCGCCTGCCCTGCACCTCCGTCAGACTTTGGCTTCGCCAACCAGGGCTCAAGAAAAGCACTGCTGAGTACCTTCTGCGGCTCCATGGCTTACACTGCCCCCAAGATGCTCATGAGCAAGAAGTACAGTGGGGAGCAGGCCGACCTATGGAGCCTGTGAGTGCTGCCCCACCAGCCACCCCAGAAGCAAGGCCCCTGGGCAGGGATGAGGGGGCATGCCTTAAGAGCCACTGTCCCCAGAGGTGTCATCCTTTATGCCATGGTGACCAGAAAGCTGCCCTTCAAGGAATGCCGGCCCCACCACGTGCTACTGCTAAGGCCCCACCTTCCTACCAGGCCTGTCCCCAGGTAAGTGCTTCCATTGCATCTTTCCCATGTCCCAGAGGACCTGGTCAGAGGGTCATTCTGTGCCATGGAGAGGGTAACAGAGGAGACTCACCTGGCACCAGCCTCCTGCCCACTGTAGTGAGAGGGAAGCTGGACTGAGGTGGGACCTAACTCAGACCTCACCTCTCTATGCCTGTCTGCCCCTTAGTGACAGGCAGAGGACCTCCCGCAGGCCCCTCAAAGCTGCGGTAATTGTTGGTGGGGAGTGAGCACAGGATGCGGAGACAAGAGGGCAGGTAGAGGGGCCACTGACTGCAGCCATTGAGTCCTCGCCCACAGAGTGCCAGGACCTGATCCAGGCCCTGCTCCAGCTGCGCCTGCATGCACGCCTGGACCTGCAGGAGGCAGCCAAGCACCGCTGGACGCAGCCCACTGCGCATGCGCTCTTCTGCACCGCGCTCAGCACCTTACCAGGCAGGGCAGGGCCCTGGGGGTGGGCAAGTGGGCTCTTAGTGTCCAGACTGAACCTCCAATGCAGTCCACAGGAGAGAATCCAGGGGAGCCCAGAGAGGACTCAGAGCCACAAGGGGTCACTCCTGCAGCTGCATCACCCCCAGCAGCTGGGAACCCCCAAGAGCGCCTCTGGCCCAGCGCCAGAGCCCCCGGACGCCAGCCCGAGCAGAGGTGGGGGCTCTGCCAGGCTAGGTCTCCGAAGCATTGCAACGGCCAACCTGGGCATGGGTGCCTCACGGCAGCCACCTCCGCTGTGCTCCAGGAGCACCGTCCAGAATGTGCTGGGACTCCACCAGGTCAACTGAGGGCAGATGGATGGGCCCAGCGGAGGTCAGATAAACCATTTATTCTGTGGAGTCAGAGGTTTGAACCAACCGGCACTGGGGAAACTGGGGATGCTCCCGAACCAAGGACATGAGTCCACACACCTCCATGCCAGAGCTTTAATGGGGGCGGTGAGCTATGGAGGGAGACACACAGCACCCCCATGGAGCACCCAGCCTCCATGGGACAGCACAAGTGAGCAGACCTCCAACTTTGGAAACAGGGCAGAGGAAGAAGAGAAGGGCACCGGGAACCCTGGGGGGCCAGCCTACACTGCAGCACAGGTTCGGGGGGCGGGGACCAGTACTTGGGTCTGCGCCAAAGATGGCACTAAGTTTGGTAGGGGGCCCAGGAGACGAGCACAGAAGCTGGGGCCACACTGACAGCCTGCCAGTGACACCTTGGGTGCTGCAGAGTTAGGGGGACCACATGTGGCACTGTGGAGAACCAGGTTCTTGTACAGACAGGGGGCTGCAGGCAGAGCCAGGGCACAGGTCAAGTGGGAGAGCGGAGAGGACGAAGGGGAGACAGCACCCAGCCAGTGCTTGAAGGGCAGGCCAGGTGGGTTGCAGCTCCAGGAGACCCCCAGGACAGGCTATAAATAGCAAAGGTCTCAAGAGGTCGGCCTACTGAGGCTGAGGGTAAGCAGAGGGCCCAGATGGAGGACTTGGGGGTACTGGCAGGAGGGGGCAATGCTCGCACCAGGTGCCTGCCTGGGCTCAGACCCCTGTAGCAAGCACTCCTGGGACTGGAAAGCTCCAGCTGGCCACTCCAGTCTGCGGTTTTCCTGTCTGGCCCCACCACCATGCTTGAGAAGTGCCTCACAGCTCCACTGGCCAACCCCCTGCAGGTCCCTGAGAGCTCCAGGGCCTGGCCAGCTGGGATTGAACAGTGCTCTTCTGAACAAGCTGCACCGCTGCTGAAAGCAACAGGGCACAGGGAAGTGCCCTCAATCCTCCAATGTTTAAGGGGCATTAGCCCTAGAGCCCTCAGCATGAACCCAGAGCTTAAGCGTAGCTCTGCTTCTCAGTAGGACACAGCCTTCCAGCAAGGTGACCCAGGAGGCCTAAAGGCAACTGCAGGAAAGCCTGGTCTGGGAGGCCAAGACTGATGGGCTAGTAAAGGTGTGCCAGGAGCTGGTGTTGAGCTACACGGACCTCAGGTGGGTGCATCCCCCTCCGCCTGTGGCTCTGGAGCCAGCTCCCACTCCTGCTGCTCCCGCTGGCATTGCTCCTGCTCCTGGCGGTCCAGCCGCTGCAGCTGGCACTCCACATCCTCAGGCACCTGCACCTCCAGCAGGTTTTCCATGCCATGCTCTGGCTCATCCCCAATGAGCACCTGCAGCAGGAAGGCAGGTGAGCAGCCGGCTGGCATACCATGAACATCTCCCCCTTCCCCACAAACCCTGCACCCACCTGGATCAGTTTCTCACAAGTCACCCGCACATCGGACTCAGGCTCCCAGCTGTGCAGCTCACGCAGAATCAGGTAGGCTCCCTGGTCCCTCACCTGCTGCCGACCCTGTGCTGTGGCTGTCAGCTGAAAGAGGACTGAGATTAGCCAGGTGTCAATGTGGTCACGTATATGTTGGGGATGGGGTTACTGCAGCAGGACCTATACTCACCAGCATGATGGCCTCAATGAGCATCTTGCGTATGTCGGCATCAGGCTCCCGTTGCTTGTCTGGTGGCAGGTACTGCAGGTCCACAGGCAGTCCTAGGGACAAGTGTGAGAGTCACTGGGTCCCTGTGCTGGGCAGCCAGACCAGACCCCACCTTTGTAAACCTCATCTGTGTTCAGCAGCTTGCTGCTAAAAGTTTTCAGAAGGGGGCTTGATCTGGACACTTCCTCCCTGCGCCACTACTGGCCTTCCCTCCTGCCAGGTCAGCCCTGCGGATCCACCCAAACTACTCACGCTCCATCTCCTCCTCGGAGAATTCCTCAGGCCCAGCCAAGGGCAGCAGCAAGAAGGGGAGAATGTCCACCTTGGGCCCCAGCAACCACTCGTGGTGTCCTGGGTGGGAAACAGGGGTGGGGGCCAGTCCAGAAGTGCTCTAATATCCAGTCTCTCCCCACTGCCCACTGCCGCAATGCTGGGCCCCACGGCCACTCACTGTGCTCGAAGCAGCAGTTTCTCAGCGTCCCCACAACCCCGCCCCTGCGAACCGTAGAGTCTGAGTATTGGGTAAAGGGCAGCAGCCGCTGGACCACACACCTGAAGGAAAGGACTACTCAGTGCTGTCCCTGCTCACTTCCACCCCTTCCCCACGGGCGTCCTGCTGTTCACCTGTCAGGGTCCAGCAGGAAGGCTCGCACCACGGGACGCTGGCTGAGGTTGGAGAGCACTGGACCCAGGTAATGTAAGGATGCGCGGGCGTTGTAGCCCGGAGTGCACAGCGCGCGCACAAGCCGCTCCAGGCCCGACTCCCCCCACTCCGCGGCCGTCAGCGCCTCCATCAGCGAGGCACACGGCGCCGGCTCGCGGCTGAGGTTGGCCAGTACCGCGGCTGCCTCCTCCGCCCAGGGCCACTGGGGATCCAACACACGGCCCAGTAGGCGGGCAGGCAGCCCAGGCTCGGCCACCAGCAGAGGCTCATGCAGGCAGGGGTCGGCGGCCAGGTTGACAAGGGCGCGGGCTGCGTCTCGGGCAGGGGCCGGGGCCGGGGCCTCCGCCAAGTCGACCAGCGCCCGCAGCAGTGCTGCTTGGCGGGCCAGCAGCGTCCGGCCCAGCCCCGAGCCGGTCAGAGCCAGCACGTGCCGCGTTGCTTCCTCCTGCAAGTCCGCCCGCGCTCCGGGCGTCAGAAAGGGAAGGAGCTTCTCCGCCTCCACCTCTAGAGTCAGCAACCCTGCAGGGCCGCCGCCACCAGCCGACGAGCCAGTGTCCGTCGCGGCCTCCTCCATGCCTACCAGCACTTTGCAATCCCTGGGTAGTTCAGCGCAGGCACAACCGCTCCATCCGGCCCCGCAGCGACAGTGGCCCTCGGCCCCGCCCCCGAAAAAACCCGGTAGCCACAACGACCAATCCGAGTCTGAGGGCTCGGCGCAGGGGGCGGGACAAGCATACGGAGGCGGGGCCACACCGAGGCCCGGGGCATTGTGGGGCTGAGCGCCGGCCGAAAGTGACTCGCGTGTGTGTTGAGAGGCGGCGGTGGGGGTCACGTAGGGACAAACGTTGACCGCTCTGTGAGGCCCAGTTCCTTGGTGTGACCCCTGGTAACTAACTGATTACACCGGCCCTCTTCCATTATGGATTGAGCAGAGATCCATCTTCGCTGGAAGAGACGCATGATCGATGACATTGATTGATGTTCCAATGTCAGACCTGCCTTGCATTCCTGGCACAACCCCCTTTTCCTCCTGATATAGTTTCATTTGAATATTTTATTGAATTTAATTTGCTAAAATTTTGTTGAGATATTTTGCAACTCTGTCCATGGGGATACTGGTCTGCAGTTTTCTTGTAACGTCTTTGGGGGCGATGTTGACCTCAGAAGGATTGGGGTGTATGTATTCCCTTCTCTTGTTTTGTGTGAGTTTGTAAAAGTTGTATGATTTATTTCCTTAGTGTTTGGCAGAACTCCCCAGTGAAGGCATCTGGGCCTAAAATTCTTTCTGGGAATGTTGTTTGACTACAAATTAAATTCCTTTAATGGATACATAACTATTCAGGTTATCATTTTCTTCTTGGGTGACTGGCAGTTTGTGTCTTTCAAGGAATGAGTCCTTTTCGTCTGAATTGCAGAACTCATTGGCATGAAGCTCATTATAATATTCCCTTACTATTCTTTTAATATATGTAGCATCTGTGGTTGGGCCACCTCTCATTCCTGATAGGTGTAATTTCTGTCTTATTTCTCTTTTTGTAGGTCTTGCCAGAGGTTTGTCAATTATTATTGATCTCAAAGAACCACCTTTTGGATTCATAATTTTTTCTACTGCTTTCTTGTTCAATTTCATTGATTTTTCACTTTGACCTTACTATATCCTTTCTTCTGATTACGTTGTTTTTTCCCCCTAATTTCTTTTTTTAATTTTTTTATTGATTATGCTGTTACAGTTGTTCTATTCCCCCTTTATTCCCCTCCACCCTACCCCCCATCCCCACCATCACCCCCCCCTTTAGTTTATGACCATGTGTCTCAAGTCCTTTAGATTCTATATTTCCCATGCTATTCTTGCCCCCCCATCTATTTTCTATCTACTGTCTATGCTACTTATTTTCTGTACCTTCTCCCCCCTTCTCCTCCTCCCACTCCCCTGTTGCTAACCCTCCTTGAGATCTTCATTTCTATGTTTCCACTCCTGATCTAGCTGTCCTTTTAGTTTGCTTTCGTTTTAGGTGTGGTTGTTAATAACTGTGAGTTTGTTGTCCTTTCACTGTTCATGTTTCTTTAACTTCTTTTTCTTAGATAAGTCCCTTTAACATTTCATATAATAAGGGCTTGGTGATGATGAACTCCTTGAATTTGATCTTATCTGAGAAGCACCTTATCTGTCCTTCCATTTTAAATGAAAGTTTTGCTGGATAGAGCAATCTTGGTTGTAGGTCTTTGGATTTCATGACTTGGAATACCTCTTTCCAGCCCTTTCTTGCCTGTAAGGTCTCTTTTGAGAAATCCGCTGACAGTCTGATGGGGACTCCTTTGTAGGTGACTGTCCCCTTAGCTCTTGCTGCTTCTAGGATTCTCTCCTTCATTTTAATCTTGACTAATGTAATTACGATGTGCCTTGGTGTGTTCCTTCTTGGGTCCAACTTCTTTGGTACTCTCTGAGCTTCCTGGATTTTCTGGGAGTCTATTTCCTTTGCCAGATTGGGGAAATTCTCCTTTATTATTTGTTCAAATAAGTTTTCCACTGGTGGCTGTGCCTTTCCCCCTTCTGGTACCCCTATAATTCGGATGTTGGAGTGTTTAAAGATGTCCTGGAGGTTCCTAAGACTCTCTTCATTTCTTTGAATTCTTGCTTCTTGACTCTTTTCTGTTTGGCCATTATTTGCTTTCTTCTGGTCCACTCCATTGATTTGAGTCCCAGTTTCCTTTTCATTGCTATTGGTGTCCTGTGCAATTCCATTCATTTCAATTAGTTTCGCCTTCATATATTTGTCTAATTTGTCCGTATAATCAACCAGTTCTGTGAGGATCCTGATCACCAGTGTTTTAAACTGTGCCTCTGTGAGTTTTGCTATTTCTTCATCGCTTAGATTTATTGGCTCTGGGGCTCTGAGATCCTCCTGCGCCATTCTTGGTCTGTTCGGGCCCTTTAAGTGTGAGAAGCGGCGGCTTGGATTCCCAGGTCGCTGGGTTGTGACGCTGTATGTGGGGGCGTGGCCAGAGTGGGGAAATGGCGACCCCCTCTGCCGCTTCTCACAGCTGGGTGCGGAGGAGCAGTGCCTTAGGTGGTTCACCTGGGCCGGGCCACTCAGAGTCGCTGGGTTATGACGCTGTATGTGGAGGTGGGGTCAGAGCAGGGAAATGGCGGCGCCCTCCACTGCCACTTACCGTGGGGACCTGCCGGCCCGGTCCAACCGCCCACTCCCTCGCCTGTCCACCCTCGCACAAATGCGAGAACTCAGTCAACACGCAGCCCCGGGCCCGGCTGTCTCCCCTGAGGTCGCTCGCCTGGTTGCTGGCTGGGTCGCTCACTAGGTCTGACCCTGCGCCTGGATTCCGCGGGCCTGAGTGTGTCTGGCCGAGTCCTCCTGTGCAACCCTGCTCCGCCAGCCGCTGGTTTCGCCCCTTACTGGTCAGGCTGAAGAATTTGTTGTTAACGGACTTCCGAAAAGTTCAATTTTCCGTGTTCTGGCTGTGTTTTCTGTTGCTAATATTTAGTTTTCTATAATCTTGGTTGTGGGAGAAGGCACGGCACATCCACCTATGCCTCCATCTTGGCGGAAGTCCTCCCCTAATTTCTTAGGGTAGATGCTGAGGTCGTTAATTTGAGATCTCCTTTTCTGTTAGAGTTTTCCCCTCATTTATGCTTAGAGTCATGAATTACTTATATATCTTACTTTTACATGGTTCTGAGAGCCTTAATAAATTGATGTTATTTTTATTTCACACTGCGGGCTAGGACGATACGGCTGTGATGCCCAGGAAAGCCACTCACTGGGGACAGCATGCCCCTGAAGTCTGTAGGTCATACACAGGTCCAAGAGCTGGGATTTGCCTGTGGCTAAGACCCACAGGAAGGGCACTTCATAGCCTCAATCCCCAGCAAACCTTGTATGAAAGTTCCATGGAAACTGAGGAAGAGGGTGGGTGAGTCCAAGCAAGTGCCCACTTTTCCAAGGAAAGCACATGCTTAGGATATACAGATCCTACCCACAAAAGTTGAATATCTCTTGCCCTGCCTGGTGTGGCTCAGTGGATTGAGAGTCAGCCTGCAAACCAAAAGGTCACCAGTTCAATTCCTGTCAGGGCACATGCCTGGCTTGGGGGCCAGGTCCCCAGTAGGGGTGTGTGAGTGGGAACTGATCAGTGTTTCTCTTGCACATTGGTGTTTCTCTCCGTCTTTTGCCCTCCCTTCCCCTCTCTCTAAAAATAAAATCTTTTTTTTTTTTTTTTAAGGTTGAGTGTTTCTCAAGGAATGGAATTGGAATGTTATGGATAACCCAGGTAAGTGACGCCCTCTGGTGGGCACTTCTGACCAAGACAAAAATGGGCATCTTCAGGGCCCACTGGAGCAGAAGTGTTTACCGTGGTCACCAGCTAGGGGACCCTAACTGTTCCCAAGTTAAGTGAAAAGATACAAAGACTTCCAGTCAAGTAGGTGTGCAGGCAAACATGGCTGGCCTCTTGGCACAACCACATGAAATTTACAACTAAAATATAGAACAGCCACCACTCAGAACCCTCAGAAATCAAGTTGAATGGAAGTCTGACAACTACAGAATTAAAGAAGCCATGTCCATATGGACTGGTAGGAGGGGTGGAACACAGAACATAGGTCCTCTCACCCACATGTGGGCTGGTCTCTCACCCACATGTGGTGGATAAAAGTTCAGGAGGGATATTTCAGGAGCGATGAGTTCCAGCCCCACAACAGGACCCCCAGCCCAGGATTCCAGTGCCAGGAAAAGAATTCTCCACAACTTCTGGCTGCAAAAAATAGCAGGGATTGAGTTGGTGGAAGAAACTGCTGGAGCTCCAAGCAGTTCCTCTTAAAGAACCCACACACGGACTTACTCAGACTCACTCCTGAGCTCCAGCGCCAGGGTAGCAGCAGCTGGAAGGACACCAGTGGTACCAGTGGGAGGATGTGAAGTGTCTGGCATCAAGATGAGCAGAGGCCATCGGCCCTTTTCTTAACCCTCCCCCCACAGGGCTATCAGGCTTGTGCCATATCTAAGACTCCATCAGACTGGCTGACACTGTTTGCCCTGCCCTGGAGATCCCCAGAGACTCCACCCCACCAGACTTATAGACCCACCCATGCGGCTTTTCCATATGAATGACTGGTCTCGGCTCATACATCACAGCTTCCTAAATCCTCTCAAACAAGGAACAGCTGAACTCAGTGAGGCCCAGGCCAGCACTAGCAGCAGCCAGCCCAGACTCACGGCTTGGCTTCTCCTGGGCATCTCCAAGTCCAGCACTAGTAGCAGCCGTCTCAGATTGCTTTATCGCTCAGACAGGGTGGCCCAGGGCAGAACATAGGTTGACCTTGGCCTGCACCACCCAGGGGAACTCCAGGACTAGTGCTTCCTGCACATCCCCAACTGGGACCTGACCCGCAACCAGGCATGTGCCCTGAGCAGAATCAAAACTGACACCTCTCAGTTGGCAGGATGACGCCCAACTGACTGAGCCACACCAGTTAGGGCTAAAAAGATTTAAATTTAATTTTAAAAAATGTATTGCTTTTAGAGAGGAAAGAAAAGAGAGAAGTTGTTTTCACTTATTTAGAATGCTTATTACTTAGCATTCATTGGTTGATTCTTATAAGTGCCCTGACCCAGGACCAAACCCACAACCTCGGTGTGTCAGGATGACGCTCTAACCAACTGAGCTGCCTGCCCAGGGCTCTAGTCTACTTTCTGTCTCTATAAATGCCTATTCTAGGGACCTCAATGCTTACAGTCTCTGTGGCTGTAGTACAGTGTGGAAAACAAGTGTATACTTCTGTGTAACCAATACCACAAGCAAAACAGAGAACGGTTTAACCACCACAAAGACCCCTGGCGACCAGCAACCGCTTCCTCGTCTGTATAACGTTTTATACACGGAAACATACAGAATGTGATCTTTCGAGATTGGATGGTTTTCCACTCAGCGTAATTCTCCGGAGCTTCACTCAGGTTGTTGTGCGTGTCCCTAATTTGTCCACTTTTACTGTTGAGAAGTTATATATTTGCTACTTTGACTCCTTCTGTAGTGAAAATCCCATTTCAGATTTTTGTACATTCTTCTATTGGGTTGTGTGATTTTTCTTATTGTTATTGATCTGTAGAAGTTCTTTCTATATTTTGGAGATGAGCTATTATTTACTTACTTGTTGTTAGAGAAAGGGGAAAGGAGGGAGAAAGAGAGAGAAACATCAATGCGTGGTTGCCTCTCATGTGCCCCCAGTGGGGGACCTGGCCTGAAACCCAGGCCTGTGCCCTGACTGGGAATTGAACCAGCGACCCTTGGGTTCACAGGCTGGTGCTCAGTCCACTGAACCACACCAGCCAGGGCGAGATGAGCCATTTTTAGTTTTTCACTCTCTTAATGGTATATTTAGGTTAACAGATTTCTTAACTTAAACATAATTATATATTTAAACTATATTAGCCCTGGCTGGTGTAGCTCAGTGGATTGAGCACAGGCCTGCGAACCAAAGGATCACGGTTCGATTCCCAGTCAGGGCACATGCCTGGGTTGCAGGCCAGTTCCCTGCAGGCCAGTTCCCAGCAGGGGACGCACGAAAGGCAACCATACACTGATGTTTCTCTCCCTCTCTCCTTCCCTTCCCCTCTAGAGATAAATACATAAAGTCTTTTAAAAATGGCATAGCTTTAAAAAAAACTATATTAATATTTCCTTTTATGGTTAGTGAGTTTTTGACCTGCTTACACTTGCCTGACTTTCACATGTTTTTAATGTTCAAAGCATTTATTGCTTTATAATTTAAACCATGAACACCCATAGAAGCAGACCGCCATGGCCACACAGCCCCTTTTGCAAAAACACCCAGCCCCGAGGCTCTCCAGGTTGGGCACTCCTGGCCCTGATTGGCCTCGAAAGAGCCACCCACCCGGCAGCCCTGTGTCAAGACCCCTGTGCAGCTCCAGGGTTGTGGGGAAGGTGAGGGAGGCCAGTGGTGACCGTAAAACCGATGAGGAGGAGCCTGTGAAGTCAGAGGGTGGAAACACCACAGGAAAGAGGTTCCTGCTCAGGCAGCCCCAGCAGAAGGGTGTGAAAGCCAGAGCAGGCCCTGGCCCAAAGTGGGCCGAGCAGCCGGCGCACACATGGGTCCCTGTGCGGCCACAGCAGTCAGGAGACACTCCACACGCTGCACTTCACAGACAAGGTCTGTCGCTTGGGGTGTTGAGGTCGAAGGGTCCAGAGGAGACTGCCCCCTTACTGCTTCTTGGACGAAGCAGGTGGTGCCCCTTCACCGGTTCTTCCTTGCAGCCCGAAGGTAACAAACCCCTCCCACACCTGGGACAGCTAGACCTCCTCTTCTCCCCAGAATATCTGGCCGCTATCTGGCTGATTAGTCCCCCTTCAATTTTGCCCCCAGGAATTGACTGGTAAACACTGGCTGAGTGCCTGAGCAGGGCGAGCCCATACTCTGGGACCCCACCTGGGTACACAGGTCCAGCACACCAGCTTGGCTGTCCCCCCATGGACTGGCCACACCCCAGATCCAGTCCCACCCACACCACCAGCCAGACCTCACTGCCCACCCCAGTCGCCCCCAAAGATGATGTGGCACCCAGTTTGGTGGCTGCACTTTATTGCAGCCTCATGCAGCCCCTGTTTGCCAGGGGCAAACAGCCCAGTGAAGAGCTGAGTCCTGAGCCCTTCCCTGGAGGGAAGGGGAGGCTGGCCGGGAGCAGCATCAGGCCAGGTCAGCTGTAGCTGTCGGGGTCCGCGTGGTCCGGCAGGAAGTAGCGCTGCAGAGCAGGCTGCAGAAGCAGGGGTGGCAGCGGACGCGCAGGCCGGGGCCAGTCCGAGGGGAAAGGCCGTACTTCCACCCGAGGCAGCGGCAGCTTCAGTGTCCGGATGGGGCCTTCGAGGGGGAGGCCCTCCCGGTGCCAGGACAGCATTCGGCCTGAGGCTAGAGGGGCAGTGCAGCCTTGGGTGGGGTCGGGGCCCCGTGGGGCCCAGGCTGTGGTAGGCATGGGGGTAAAGCTCACAGTCCAATCTATCTCTACCCCTGTCCCCACTCACCCCTCTGTCTCTTTGGAGACCTCCGGATCTTGGTCTCCTGAAGCGGAAGGATGGGGTTGGGCCTGGAGTGGTAGGGAGGCAGGTTTGTGTGAGCTTGGCCCTCAGCCGCCCCATCGTGGGCCCTGCCCCAGCCCATGCCTGGAGCCATCAGCACTCACGGGTGGGGGCGGAACTGTGGCACCACGGCGTTGGGGCCCAGTGTCCTCTGGCTTAGGCGTGGGCTCTCAGGCTCCTTGCTGTGCAGGGAACTCAGCCGCCGCACCCGCTGCAGCTCGCAGAAATAGTTGAGGGCGTCAATTGGCCCCAGGTCCATTATCTTTGACTGTGACCAGTCCGTCTGCTCCAGGAGCAGTGGGTGGTTGGGCAGTGCGTCAGATTCCACGGAGGGCAGCCGGAGCTCGGCCAGGGAGGAGAAGGGCATCAGTGTCTCGGAGAGTGTGCAGCAGGTGTGCCAGGCGTGCATCAGTGGGAACCTGTCGTGGGTCTGGGACTCCAGGGCGGCCAAACCTGGCTCCCCAGGCGAGGTCACCAGGGAAGGCGTCCCGGAGTGGAATGAGGGCGTCACACAGATGCAAATGGGTACCCCGGAGACTGTGGACATCGGTGACAGGGTCTCCTTGGACCGGGGCGAAAGCACTGAGGTCTCCGAGACCTTGGGCAGCATCTCCGACAACTTGGCTACTGATGGTTGCGAGGTTTCCATCTGCGGGGGGGTGGCCAGTGGAGGACACATGGGGGCCCAGGGAGTGGTGCTGGTCCTGGATCCCAGCCTGACCCCAGTGCAGACTCCCTCCCAGGAAGGAGCAGGAAGATCCCGAGAGACACAGAGACCACGGAGGCAGGTGTCGCACGACGTTGGAGTGAGGCGAGGAGCCCAGCAGCCTCACTTGGCCCTCCTCCCTGGACTTGGGGGCGGCCCCAGGAGAAGGCCAGGGGCTCCACTGGCGGGAGGCCCGCCCCCCCCCCCTCCCACCAGACCTGCAGGTGGTGGATCATCTCCTCCAGCTTCTGGCTACAGCAAATGCGCAGCACAGCCTTGGACTCCAGGTCCAGGCCCTGGGCCCAGGTCACCATCTCCTTGAACAGGAGGCCCTCTGGGTCCTGAAGGCCTAGTCCGTCCAGCAGCTCCTTGAGCTCAGACCTGCGACAGGTGAGGGCGGCTTATCCTGAAGCCTTCTGGCCGGCGGGAAAGCCACGCAAAGAGCGGGCCTCACCGGCAGGAGACTGGCGAGTAGAGGAAGTAGGACATGAGCTCCAGCACCACCTCATGGGACTCCAGGGAGCAGGCCAGCACCAGCTGCAGTGCCAGCATCACAAACTGCTTCTGCGTCCTGACCTGAGCACAGACGGGCAGTGCGATTGGTGCCCGAGGCCCAGGACTGGGTGGGGTGGGGCGGGGCGGGCGCTACGTGGGCTGGGCTGGGCTGGGGCGGACCTGGAGGCTGGGGGGATGGTCCAGGTTGAGCAGGTACAGGAGGATGGCGTGCAGCCTGCTACAGAGGTCTCGGCTCATGTCAGGCATCAGCCTCAGCAACGCATACAGGATGTGCACTCGGTCCTCCCAGGAGGCCTCCTCCAGCAGGTCCATGAACAGAGAGGCCAAGCCATCCACTGTGCCCACTTCGGGGTATGCCTGTTGGGACCGCCAGCTGAGGCCCTGATCCGCACTGCTCTCTCCCACCAGCCCACTTCCCAGGCATCCCCTGAACCTCCAGGGTGAAGATGGGGAACAGCTTTTTGAACCAGTTCTGGATGGCAAAGAAACGCAGGAACCTGGGCAGATGCCCATAGCGCTCTTCCAACAGCGAGTGCTGGTAGTGGTACCAGTGGGGGTGTAGGTAGTTCTCCATCCTGGAGCTGTCTCTGGAGCTTCTCTTAGTCAAGGACGCCAAGCTCTGGGGGTAGGAAGTTGTCAGAACCCGAGTCTGCACCCACTCCTCCCACCAGAGCCCTGCCCTGGGTGCCCACCTGGGCCCATGGCTCCTCAAACTCCAGTAGCTCCTGGGACAGCCCTGGGTGGGGGCTCAGGAAGTCTGAGGTCCAATCCAGATCCAAATCCTTGTCTTCCTCTTCCTCCTCCTCCTCCTCATCCTCCTCGCCCTTGTCCAACCAATGGATCAGCTTCTGCGGCCACGTGGTGTGGCGCCTCCTACTCCGAGACGGCCACCAATCATCCTGCTGGCTCCCCCTTGACTGCAGAGTGGACAGAGCAAGGGGCTGACAGCTGGCATGGGAGGTCTCGGCCCTGGGCAGAGCTCACCCCAGGCCTGAGGTTGAGCCCCCAGCCCCGCTGCTTGCCTTGAGTGAGCCCTGGCTGGTGAGCCAGGCCTGGGCTCCAGGGACCCTGACTTCCCTGGGTGGCCACATCTGCTGCAGCACCACGGAGTTGGGGACGCAGCCTGGGAAGCGGATGGGCCTCGGCAGGTCCTGAAGGTGGAACAGAGCACAGTGGGCTGAGAGCCTGAATTCTGCCCGATCCTAGGGTCTGCCCTGGTAGAGCACCCAGGCCACCAGCCCGGCTCCCTGCCAGGTCTCCAAGAGCTGGACTGGTTCCCCACCTCCGCCACCCACAATGCACAGACAGGCAGAGAGAGCCTTTGGAAACCAGGAAGGCGACAGCTGTGGTAACTGAGGAGGGGAATCTGGGCCACCGCAACCCCCCACATGCTCTCCACAGGGCTTGGCCGCCAGCTCTGGACTAGAGATGTCCAAAAGAAGCTGGGGGTGGAGAGACAGGAGCCCTGAGGGGGGCTGTTCGGGGCTTGGGTATGTGGTGCAGCAGCTGGAAGGGTCAGTGGCCACCTGGGCCGGTGATCCTGCCAGAGGTCTCTTGGGGGCAGAGGCCTGTATTGGCATCTGGGGCGGGAAGGCGGTGGGTTGCAAGGGGCCAGCTCCCATGGATTTTGATCCCCCGAAGGGAGGAGATTCTGGTCTCCCAGACACTCCTGGGGGAGGGGCATGCAGGCACAAGCAGCTGGCATGAGGCTTTGGCCTGCCCCGTTCTGCTCCAGGAGCCCCAGACTCTGGCAGCCCCACCCAGAGTGCAAGCAGTCAGGGCCCACAGAGCAGCAGCATCAAAGCTGGGCAGGTGGGGGAGGGGGTGGGGCCTGGGCTGCAGGTGGGCATGGCCCTAGGTCAGAGAGGGACACAAGGGTTTGGAGTGAAGGGAAGAGGGGGTACACATGAAGGGTGACCCCTGGAGGGAGTTGCTTCTGGAGAGTGTGTGTGTCTCACCTTGTAGGGCTCAATGGCAGCAGGAAAGAAGCCCCTGAAGTTAGAGAGAAGCTCCTTGGGCCGCCTCTCCAGCAGCAGGGGGACCTGGGGACGGGGCAGAGGCTCAGAGCCAGGGATGGACTCAGGACCCCTGCAGCTCTGCCTTGGGTGGGAAGCATCCCGCCGACCTGGGCCCCTCACCCTGTGCTGCAGGTGGGAAGACAGTGAGTCTGGGGCCACGGGCCTCTCATGGGGGAGTTGCTCCAATTGCAGCTGAAGATCCACACTGAGGCCCAGGGAGGAGCCCAGGGAGGAACGGGCCAGCATCTGGGGCGCCGGGGGAGGAGTCGTGGGGTGGGGGGCAGGGTCCTGAGAGTAGGGCAGAGGGGTGGTGGGGGTGGGAGGCCTCACCTGGGATTCCCTGCTGTGTGCTCCCCGGTGGGGAGGTGGGATGGGACAGGTGATCTGGGGAAGGCACAGTGCCTTCCAGTCCTGCAGGGGCAGGGCTGTTGGCGGTATGGAGGTTTCGGTGCAGACCCCCGCCTTCCCGAGACCGGGGGCAGCTTGGGGCAGGGTGCAGACATCCCAGGTTTCTCTCTCCGCTGTAAGGGTCACGGTGTTCCACCACTGTGACTCGGCTCCTCCGGAACAAATGCCCTGGGAGGGGTAACGGGCAGGGCAGGTTGGGGTGTCAGAGGCTCTGGAAGGGAGGGGTTGGGTCAGACCTGGTGCTGGGGGAGGCACCCAACCTACCAGCAGGGCCGGGCCGTAGACCAGCTGCAGGTAGTGGTCAAAGGCCTCCTGCTGCTGCTGCCAGGAGGGTGGGGGCCGCACTGCTGGGACCACCTGCCCCAGTCTCAGCCGCTGAAGGTCATAGTCCCGGGCAACTAAGGCTTCCAGGTCCTGGAGCGGGAGTCAGAATTCAGCGGATTCTTCCTGGAACCTTGCCATGTGCTGCCTAGATAACCACAGTGCGCCCAGGCCTGCCCCAGGGACAGAAGGGGTGGGGCCTGCACCTGGGCAGGGGGCAGGGCTGGCACTGGGGTGCAGGGGGCATCAGGGCTGGGCCTACCTCCTCCAACAGTGGCTGCTGAGGTGCTGCCATCTGGCAATGGATGAAAGACAAGGCCGTGCTGCGGGCAGGGAGGAACACAGGTGGGACACTGAGTGGCATTACCAGTGGGATTAGGCTGAGGCACAGATAAGGATCCAGGAGGGTGGCCAAGCCCCTGACAGGGCATGAGAGACAGCCAGGAGTGGGGATGCCAGGGCTGGGACAGGCTTCAGGTGGCCCCAGGTGCCTGGGAGTCCTGGGACCTCGTGTTGGGGGCACAAAGCTGGACCCCGTGCCAGGGGAGCTGGGGGGTGGCCTCCGGGACAACTCAGCAGGCCTGCCAGCAGACCTGAGACTGGAAACCCCATGCAGGTTGGCGAGCCTCTGCAGCTGGGCTGAGGTCAGTGATTCCTGGCTGGTCAGTGGCAGTGGAGGGTCGTCCACCACATCAGGGACCTCCTGGCACAGCTTCTGAGCAGGGAAAGGAGCCTGGAATCCTGGCCTAGGAGGCTGGTCTCCTGCAGCAGCCCTACCTGCACACCCTGTTCTTGCTGCACACCTTAACCAGGTAGGATGTGGGCAGGTAGAGCCTGTGAGATACCAGGTGGAGGCGGGAGCCCAGAGCCAGCACCAGGTCCCCACTGTTGTTGGAGAAGGTCAGGGCCTGAGGGGCTCCATTCAGCTGCAGGAGCCTGGAGGGATGTCCAGGGAAAGAGTTCAGCCCTACTCCAAACAGCAGGAAATGGAGGCAGCAGGAGGGGCAAGGTCCCCCCTCCCCTATCCAACTACTAGGTTCTGCTGGGGGGCAGAGGTAGGGGAGCCCAGCGGGCTGCCCTTGGCTCCCAGCCTAGTCCTCCCTCCCTTGGGGCCCCACCCACCGCAGTAGGTGGTTGTCTGTGGTCCAGATCCGGATGGTGCAGTCCAGGCTGGAGGAGGCATACAGCTTGAGCGTGGGACAGCAGCACAAGCCTAGGGCCCGGGACTCAGGGTCAGGAGCCAGAGCCACATGGTAGCTGGACCTTAGCCTTGCCCTGCCCCCTCACCGGTGATGTGGTCCGTGGGGTCGTCCTGGGGCCGATGGTCATAGCGTTGGCTGTTTTTCAGGCCAAACTGCACCAGACCGTAAGTAGCACTGTCTGAGTCCTCAAAGCCCACAGTGACGCGATTGCCAAGCGCAGAGAGCACCAGGGCAGGGTGGCAGCAGGAGAAGGTGCGCAGCAGGCTCAAGCTCTCCTCAGCATAAGGGAAGACACGCCACATCTTCACGGTCAAGTCTCTGCCTACGGGGCGGGAGCCAGGGCTGTGCCTTTGGGGAGGCAGGGAAGGGGCTCCCCCCACAGGCTTTGGGGGGTAGGTGGGAGGTACTGACTGACCCGAGGACACCATGATGTTCCAGGTAGACGAAATGGCGATGACCGGGCCGGGGCTATGTGCCTGTGTATGGAAGACAGCCTTCCATGTGCGCCACTCCAGCACTGACAGGGTGCCATCCGCGTGTCCCAGCACCGGCAGGTACCTACGGGCAACAATAACCTGCTGGCGTGGTCTTTGGTAGGCCTGCCTGGCCCTCACTGGCTCTCACACCTACCGGTTCTTGTCTTTCCAAGCCTGGATGTCGCTGTGGCACGGCTCGCCCCCGTGCTGGCGCACGATCTTCCAGCTGGCAAACGCACTGCTGGGGTCTATGAGGTGGCTGTAGAGGTGCAGGCAGCAGGGCCTGGGCGCTGGGGGTGGTGGTGGGCACGCGCGGTACAGCACGCACATAGGGTGGCACGCCGCGTTGGCACACACCAGGTGCCCGGCGCGGGTTAGCAGCCACAGCGTTTCACGTGGCAAGCAGTAGGCCACGGCGGCGGCACAGTCCTCGGGCTCAAGCAGCAGTGCGCTCACGGTTAGCCCCGTAGCCACGGACACGAGGTAGACGGAGCCATCTGCGCATGCGCACACGAGGCGTGCTGGCAGAGCAGGGCGCGAGGACAAGGGCAGCGCGGGCGCCACCTGCAGGTGGAGCACTGGTGCTGACAGCTGGGCCAATGGCGAGTACAGCTCGCGCAGGCGCCAGAGCTCCACGCTGCCTGCACGCAAGGAGAGCACCGGCCAGCCAGGACTGGCGGGTGCCAGTAGGCGGTTCACGCTGCCTGACCGCATGTCCTGGCCCCAGTAGCTCAGCATCACTTCGCCCACCTGTGCCACTGCTTGCAGGTCCCATGTGCGAAGCGTCCCGTCCTGTGAGGCTGACAGCACCAGGGGTGTGTTCGGGAGCACGGCCAGAGCTGTCACTGGGCCTGTGGGAGGGGTGCAGGTCACTGGGACACACGAAGGACAAAGGAAAAGGAAGCTGTTGGCTCGGGTTATGACCAGCACAGAGAATCATGGCCAGAGCTGGCGGGGACTGTGGGCAGCCCAGAGCTCTTTAAAGCAAGGTGGGGAGAGGAAGGGCCTCAGCAGCCGCAGTAGCGTGGTGCACCTGTGTGGCCCACAAACACCATCCGGATCTGCCAGTCGGCCTCCCACACCTTCACCGTGCTGTCTCGGGAAGCCGTCACCGTGGCCTCTACCTCTCCACAGTATGCCAAATCGGAGATGGTGCTGGGGAGGAAGGCCAAGCTGACTCAGCATCATCTCAGGTAAGTGCCCGCACCCCTGCCATAACCGGCATTCCCACACAGACTCATCCCTGAGTTCCTCTTACGTTTTGTGCAGTTTCTGGTGCACATCTACGACAGCCCAGGCGTGCAGGTCAAAGGTGACTACGGTTGAGCCATAGGCTGCGAAGCAGCGCGGAGGGTGGTGGGGAGGCAGGGGCCCCAGAGCCAGACCAACGAGAGCATGGGTGGAGCTTGGCGGAGGCAGTAGAGGTGACCCACTAGGCACCAGACAGCGACCCCCTAAACGGAACTTCCAGAGCGCCAGGCCGCCGCCTGCCTCCACTACTAGCAGCAGCCCCAAGTCAGGCACTGGCAGGCAGTAGATGGGCTCTCCGTGGGGCGCCCGACCCACCCTTGGCTCACTCAGCCATAGCAGGCTGAGATCCGGCCTTAGTATGGCCAGCCCTGCGGGGCCCCAGCCCACATAGCGGCCCACAGAGCCCAGCGGACCTGGCACTACCACCAGCCCCCTGAGGGCAGTGGGGGCCAGCAGCTTCTCCTGCGCCCAGCCATCCTCTCTGTGCAGGTGCAGGCAACCTACACCGTCCAGCACCACAAAACGTCTACCCACTGGGTCCTGCGCCACTGAACATAGCCCTGCTGCTACCTCCAGGCGGCGCAGTGGCTCCAATCCATGTGTCAAGCAAGCCACACGCAACTCGGATCTCTTTTCCTGCGGGCCGGGGTGGGCAGACCTGCGGTCAACTTGGGGGAACCCAGGAGAGGCCGTGCACCCACCTAGGGTAGCCAAGAGGATGGGCTGGGATCATGATAGGGACCCCTAGGGGAAGAGCTGGGCCAGGAGAGGCTTCTAGGCAGATGCCAGGAGCCAGTCGCACCTTTTCCACAAAGCTGTGGAGGCTTGTACGCAGCAGCAGCCACAGCTGGCGGGCACGGGTGCCAGGGGTCATACTGTGCCACCAGGAGCTCCTGGTAAAAAGCTTCAAGACCGGCTCTGAGGATGATGGCTCTGTGGGCCAGTGGTGGAAGCAGCGTCACTGTGTGGCCTTGGGCTCCCCCGAATGGAGGCTGTGGGCAGCCAGGGCTTTCTGGGGGGCCCCGTGGGCTAGGGGACGGTCTGTGGGGCACTGCACTCCTGGTGGAAAGCGCCCCTGCCTGAGTGAGGGCTGCTTTTAGGCTGGTCATCTTGAGGGCAAGGCCAGGCCACCTCACCATTCTTTTCTTTGAGCAGCCCAGGGTCTGGGATGTCATAGCTGTCAGCTTCATACAGGTCTGGGTCCAGGGTCAGGTTGTCGCCTTCTACTGAAAAGCGATTGCTTGTAGCCAATACATCCATCTCCATCTCGCAGGTCCAGGCGGTTTAACAGTCTCCTGCGTCTGTTGCTAGGATACCAGATGACGCAGGCCCCACCCCTGAGGCAGGCCCCGCCCCCACCCCAAAGAGAGCCCAGGTCAACAGTAAGTCACATAAACTTTTATTGAAACAAACAAGCTGCAGCAAAGTGACACTCAGTGCACGCTGCCCACTGGGCGAGGTGGGAAGTACAGGTGGGCTCCAAGAGCCAGCTCAAGCCCAGGGCAGATGACCATTGGGGCCTGCTTGCTGGGTGTTGGGCCCTTTGGGCTGGAGTGTACAGGCTCAGGCCTGACCCCATACAAAATACAAAAATAAACTCTGTGGTCCAGCTGTCCCTGCCTGTGTCAGTTTGTTTGGGCAGGGCAGCGGCTGCTCCCACCAGGCCCTGTGCTGTCTGTCCAGTCTAGCCACAATGTGGGCAGCAGAGCCTGTGGGGTAAGTGGCCATCCAAAAGGGCTAGGTGGGCAGCACTGTAGCTGTGGTAGTGCCAGGGTCTGGCCAGCAGTTGGGGAGGCCCTGGGGCCCCTCAGGTGGGCAGGCCCAGGCACTGGCTGAAGCTGGATGAAGCTGAGGCCTCTGCTCTTCCTCCTCACATACAGATCACTGGGACCCTAGGCAAAGGGGGACACACAGCCAGCCTTGAGAGGCTAACACCCAGGAGATGCCCCTGGGCAGAGAAGCCCCGCCCTGTCCTGCCCACCCCAGGCTCCAGGAAGCCAGGCCACCGCCATTACACACCTGTCCTCCATGGGGCTGGTCTCCTCGGGTCCGCCCTCACTGCCTCCACCTCTGAGTTCTTCCTCCTCCTCCTCCTCCTCCCCCAGCTCCATGTCCAACTCATTGCCCACCTCCGAGGGTGTGTACGTGGATCCACTGGGGGAGTTGGGGAATTGGTCTTAGGACTGCCCACCCTGGCCTGCTACTGACCCCAGGGAAGATGTCCAAGGAGAACAAAGTCAGAAGTAGGGTAGGCCAAACAAGGAGCTACAGTAAGGGACAGTCACCAACCTGATAGAGCGACAGCTGAAGAAGACAATCCGTTTAAGCCGCTTGTTGTAGAAGAAGTAGTTAAAGGACCAGAGGCTGCCATCTTCCCCAAAGGGGTCTGAGTCCAAGTCTGGATTGTAGCTGGGTGGTGTGGGGTGAGACTGGTGTGAGACCCCACGTGCCACACACACCCAGGACCCACCCGCAGGGATGCCAGCTCACCTGTAGATGTCACATTCAGCCAGGCAGATCTCCTCATCCACTGCGTTCCACAGCTGTGGCTTCAGGGCCTTGAAGTCCTCCCGCACAGCCGAGAAAAGACTGCAGTTGACTGCATTCACCACCTAGGATGGTCACAGCTCGAGCTGACTAGGTACCAGGACAGCAGGTATGGACTGGTTGGAGCCCAGGGGCCACTGAAAATGGGGGAGGACAGTGGGGACAGCTGTGGGCTGTGGGTCCCTCACCCAGCTGAGGCTGGGCTCCCGGCTGAACTCGTGGCTTCTGGCCGTGCTGAAGTCATAGTCAGGGCGGAAAGACTCGTTGAGTGTGGCGATCAGGTAGAAGAGGGTCTTGCGGCTGCACTTGTCGCTGAGGGGGCCTTCGTCCTCGCCACCTTGACTCTTGCTCAGTCTGCACAGAGAAGCATCAGCCCAGTACTGCCCTGTACCCGACAGCCCCCAGTGGGCAGGACCTGCCCTGGCTCACCTGCTGGGGCTAAGGCCGGAGGTCTGGGGTGGGGATAGTGCCTCTAGCACGTGTGGCTGGCCCTCCTGGCAGAACTGCTTGAACATGTGCTTGTCATCTCCCGCCATCTTGCAGGAATAGCTTTCAATCCTGTGGGATGCAGGTGGAACCGTGGAGCATGCCAACCCCAGGTCTGACCCAGGGCCAGGGCAGAGTGACCTCTGAGCAGCAGACCCTGGAGCCCAGCCCTCACCTGCCGATTATGTGGGCATCTCCAGTCTCCACAGTCAGCTGTGAGTTGATGGCCTCGAAACTGGAGTTCTCCAACAGCTTCATGTCCTCTGGGAAAGGGTCCTGTGCTGCGAGGGGCTAGTGCTGCCTGGGGACAGGAGGCCAGTCCATGGGTATCTGGCCCCAGGATCTACACCTTTAGCCTTCCTCCCATAAGTGGGGCCAAAGTAAATATGCTGGGTCCTCCCCACGGCCTGCTTCCAATTCCTCAGCACTGGCAGGAAAGGAAATGAGATCCTGTTACCTGACAGTGGCAAGTCCAGGCCCCCCTTCAGCCATACCTCATGCACCTCATTAGAGTTCTGGGTTCAGGCTTGGGGGGCCCACAAAAAATCCTGCACAGCCAGGGGCTGCTGGTTTAGTCTCTCCCTCAACACTCCCTACCCGACAAAAGAGCCTGAGAAGGGATTTGACTCCAGCAGTACCCCTGAGGCCTGACTCCTCAGCCAGGGTAAGAACCCCCACCCGGTTAGGAACAACTGGGGTTCGGACTTGCAGTCACCTGGACAAGGCACTCTTCCCTGCTCTACAGGCGGATTTCTAGCGAAGACAGGAAACTTGTAGGCTCCTCTGTTCTTCTCCAAAAGTGTGCCTAGTTTCTTCGAGGCCCCACGGCACCCGAATGACCTCTCCTCCGGCCGCTAGGGCGCTCCGGCGCCCACCCCGCAGTGCCCGCCCACCGCCTAGCAGAACCCCAACCTAACCGCGGCAAACTACAAATCCCAGGAGGATGTGCTCCCCAAACGCGAGCACGTTCCGGCGCGAGGCCGGCTGGGGGTTGTAGTTCTAGAGAACCCGAGACGGCACCCGGTACAGGGCGGACACCTACCTGCTTGCGCTGCGCTCTCTCTGACCGGGCAGGGTCAGGCCGGGTCGGGTTGGTTGGCGTCGCTGAGGGTGAAAATTCGGTGCGGGTTCCGGACAGCGCAGGATCCTCAGGACCGGAGGGCGGCGCCGCGGCCTCCGTTCGGGCCGCACTGTATCCGGGGGAAGAAGCTCCGCGGCGACATCCCGTTACTCCCGGCCTTGCCGGCCCATCCGGGCTGCCACTGCGACATAGCCTCTCCCCCACACGGCGTCCGACTATCGCGACCGACCTGCCTGCCGACCGCCACCAATCGACCCAGCTAGCGAGCAAGAGAGCGAGCGACCTCTGCCTCCTCTGTCCGGACAACAACAAGCACCCGCAAGGCCCAGCCCCACGCCTCCGAATGGCCGGCTCCGGGCGCCGCGGTCGAGAACTCGGAGAGCCATTGGGAACGTTACCCGCCGCTCAGTCCTGTCTTTTATGTCTATTGGCTGCCGTGCCTGTCCGTCACTCTCTTCAACGCCCAAGCCCGTTTTTCCTTTCTAGCTCTCATTGGTTGCAGCCTCTGGCCTGCTCCGCCCTCAGTGGCTGCATGGGTTCCCAAGCTCTACCAGTGGGGTAGAGCTTGCTGCAAGGGTGGGACCGGATTATCCAGCAAGTGACGGGGCGACAAGCAGAAGGGTCCTGGGAGCGGCTTCCAGCTCTCGCTAGGCCGGTGGGTAAATACGGACAGTCCGGCTGCAGTCCCCGCCCGCTCAAGTCTCTACGAGCGAAGGGACCGCGCCCGCCTTCTAGCCTTGGCCGGAGCTTCAGTTTCTGACACTTTGCCCTGGCGTACTAGCCTCCAGGACCAACCTTGCTCGCCCGTGTCTGGAGACCCTTGGACTGCGTCGATTCTGGACAAAGCCGGAGGGTCAGATTCGACAATAGCCCACCCCAGGGCTCCGACGCGCTGGCTGCGCCCGGAACCCCAGGTTCGCGGCCTCGGTTTCCGGCCGACGCAGGCGTTTTGTGGCCCCAGCCCACGGAAGCAGACTAGGAGACACGGTGGAACCGGCGATGGCGCCGCCTGCGGGCGGAGCAGTGGCGGCCTCGGACCCAGGATCTGCAGCGGTGCTGCTTGCTGTGCACGCCACTGTGAGGCCGCTAGCTGCGGGGCCGGACGCCGAGGCGCAGTTGCGGAGGCTGCAGCTGAGCGCAGACCCCGAGCGGCCGGGGCGCTTCCGGCTGGAGCTGCTAGGCGCGGGTCCCGGGGCGGTGAGTGAGGGCGGCGCGGGCAGGTGGCCAGGCGACCTGGGCGGGGCGGGGCGGGGCAGGGCGCAGAGCTGGAGGCCTGGGCCATCCACTTGCCCGCTGAGTTCCGAGTAGCAGGTCACTTTTCTTGTTTCTGTTTCCTCGTCTATAAATGGGGATTACGCTGGCACTTACCTTTGTAGGACTGCTATGAGTTTTATAAGGAGTCTTAAAGAGTTTAGGACAGCGTAAGTGGCCTATAAATGTTACCTCATAAGGCCTTGTTTATCATGTAGTGTGTGCTGGGGGAAGCATAAGCCTAGACTCTCCCCATTCTCAGGTCAGTTTGGAGTGGCCCTTGGAGACAGTTTCCTACACCGTCCGAGGTCCCAGCCAGCATGAGCTGCAGCCTCCACCAGGAGGACCTGGGACCCTCAGCCTGCACTTCCTCAATCCTGTGGATGCTCAGCGGTGGGCAGCCCTGGTCCAAGGTGCCACCGTGGATGGACAGAATGGTTAGTGCCTTGGAGCAAAGGTTCATTTGGTTGGCCAGGGGTTGTGCTGGGAGAGAGCAGGAGTAGCCCTGGCCTCCCAGGCCTGGACGGGGAATGTAGTGGGGAAAGACGGCCTGCCTTACCCACTGCTGGTGTTCCGGAAAGGTGCCCAGAAGAAAGTGGAGAAAAGGAACAGGCCAAGAACTGGAGCCTGGAGTACCAAATGTGGAGGGGCAGAAAAAGCAGGCCCTCACCACCTGGGTGAGAAGACACTGTATCAAGAGCAATTGGAGAGCCCTGGCTGGTGTAGCTCAGTGGATTAAGCGCGGGCCTGCGAAGCACACGATCGCGGTTCGATTCCCAGTCAGGGCACATGCCCGGGGTTGCAGGTCGGTTCCCTGCAGGCCAGTTCCCAGCAGGGGATGCACAAAAGGCAACCACACATTGATGCTTCTCTCCCTCTCCTTCCCCTCTTCCCCTCTAAAGATAAATAAATAAAATCTTAAAAAAAAAAAAAAAGAGCAATTGGATTTTGGAGAATGACAGGCTCTGATCTGAGCTCCTTAAGATTGGCGGGGACCTGCATTTGTAGGTGTGGTGCAGTCAGGGCTGCACAGAAGGACGTTTCCAGATACTCAGGAGATGGAATTGTCTGGAATTTTGTCTGTTTAAATTGAAGAATTAGTGGTTGAGACAGGAAGATGGGGGGCTAAATACCCTTAGGCTCCCAGAGAGAGGGCCTGTTTGGGGGGGCATGGAGGCGGCCCAGTTCTCACATATCTGGGGGGAGTGGGAGCAGGTGGATTGGGGCTGGAGCTGGGGCTCTGGAGAGGAAAAGACTGGGGTAGGAAAGGTTAACCAAGGTTAGCAGGAGAGAAGTGTGGAGAGGAAAGAGGTTCGGGCAGGCAGACCGTACATCTGGGAAAGAGTCCACAAACGCATCATAAGTGCCGCTAGAGGGGCAGGAAGAAAACCATACAAGGTGATGTAAGGGAGGCCCAGACAATAGCATTTGTAGAGGAAGAAAGGCTTTTTTCATTCTCTCACTCACCAGGTGTACTCAGTACCACTTTGGACTAAGCACCTCTTTAGGCCTTGGAGGTTTATCATAAATAAAACTTCATATCTCTGCCCTCTCAGAGTTTGGAGCCTCAAGTGAGAGGGAAGCGGGGTGCAGAGCGGCCAGCTCTGTAAGGAAGCCCAGGGCCGACGGACAGTGGCTCTGGGAGGGCTGGATTGGAATGGAGCAGTCTGAGGTGCTCTGTGCTGATGGTAGTCAGGAGAGGGGCAGAGGTCCCTGAAGGCACCAAAGAAAAGGCCGTGCTGACTGCAGGGCTCCTGCCGAGACAGAGGGGCAGACTCCTGAGCACTTGCCTTTGGTTCTATGTGGTCAAGAGAACAAGCGTCCCTAGCTGGTTGACGGGGCCTGTGGAGGCCAAAAGAAGTGGCCTGGCCTCCATGGAGGAGGGACAAAGGTAGGACCAGACGGCAGAGGATCTGGAGGACTCCAGAGCACAACAAGTGCAGCTCCAGCTCTGCAAGCAGGTGGCCAAGACCCAAGAGGTCCCTTGACCTTCTAAGAGCCATGGCTTGGGCGAAGACCTGGCTTGAAGTATGGTCAGGGTGGGGCACTGGCATGGGCTGAGGTGAGGAGGGAAGAGGCAAAGGTCCTAAAAAACTGAGGTCAGAGAGCAGAGGCCTAGGTGAGGACTCGGCTAAGAGGCTGGGTCTTGGGAGACCACCAGCCCATCCCACATCTTCCCTCCTAGGCAGTGACAGCCTGCCTCCAGCCCCGAGCACAGAAACAGGCCCTGTTTCCCCACCCAGCCCCTCCGAAGTACACACACCCAAGGCTGTCCAACCCAAGGTGGATGCTTCTTTACATCTTGGAGACTTGATGGAGAAAGGTAAAGGCAGGTGGCCAGAGGGGGTTGGGGGCCTTGGGTGATGTGCTCAGCTGTGATGTGCTCTTTCCTTGCAGAAGAGCTGGCAGGACGCCTGGCCCAGGCCATTGAAGGTGGGGATGAGAAGGGGGCAGCCCAAGCAGCAGCCATCCTGGCCCAGCATCATGTGGCCCTCGGTGTCCAGCTCCAGGAGAGCTGCTTCCCTCCTGGCCCCATCAAGTGAGCCCTGGGACTTTGTCCTCACCCCACCCTCCCGACCCTCCCAGGTACCACTTCACTCCCCCAACCTATATTCTGGCCCAGGCTACAGGTCACAGTTGAAGATGCTGCATCCTCTGCCCACATCTCGCTGCAAGTCTACCCCCACTGCACCATCTCCACCCTTCAGGAGCAGGTGAGCACAGGGTCTGGGGAGCCCCGCTGAGGGCCGTGATCCTGGGTGACACTGCTGGGCCCTGATGCTCTGGCTCCAGGTGTTCTCGGAGTTTGGCTTTCCTCCAGCAGTGCAGCGCTGGGTCATTGGGAAGTGCCTGTGTGTGCCGGAGCGCAGCCTTGCTTCCTACGGGGTCCGGCAAGACAGGGACCCTGCTTTCCTCTACCTGCTCTCAGCCCCTCGAGAACCACCAGGTCAGTCCTTGATTGGGGTGGGATGAGGAAGGTGGGGTATAGCCTGACTCGGCCCCAAGCCCCACCCCCTCTACCATAGGACGCAGCCCTCAGCATCCCCAGAAGATGGATGGGGAACTAAGCCACCGCCTATTTCCTCAGTCATTGGGGCTGCCCCCAGCCCCTCAGCCAGCCAGCTCAAGCCTCCCCAGCCCCCTTCAGGTAGGCAAGGGCCCAGGTAAGATGGGCCTGGGCAACTATGGGCAGTGGAAGGAAAGCGGTAAGCAATAACTGTACCCCCTCTCTAGTCTGGCTGGCCCTGCCCTTCTTGTACCTTCATCAACATCCAGAGCCGCCCTGCTTGTGAGATGTGTAACACTCAGAGACCCTGTGCTTGGAACCCACTTCCTGCAGCCTCCACTCAGCAGTCACTAATGGTACTAGAGGCAGAGGAGGGTAGGGAGTGGGGAGGCATGGCTGAACAGCAAAATGAACCATCTTCCTCCCTGCCCAAGGTCACAAGGGGAGAAGATGGCCCTTCCCTTCCAGGCCCGAGGTCCCTGGATGCCCTCCTGAACCTCTCAGGGGACCTCCGCTGACAGCTCCCGGGGGATAGCGCCAGAGTCATTAAAGATACTTTTGAGCCAACTGAGTGCCCCCACTTTGTGCGGACTAGGCTTCTGGAATGGGGTGTAGGTAGGGCACAGTCCCGCCCAGGACACTTGGCAGAGGGGGGCAGTTCTGGGGCTCCCCATCAGAGTCCAGGAGGCTACTAAAGAGCTCACTTGGACCCCAACCCCCAGGGGTCCTAGGGCGTCGAGCTGACATATCTTCCCACACCCCAAGGCTTACAGAGCCCTCACCTCAGCTGCTGACCACTGCCAGGGCCCTCTGTGAGCCCCGCCCCCAGCTAGCCAGGTTTCCCCTGATTTGCCTAAAGCCCCTCAAGTATGTACCCTCTTCTCTTCTCCCATTCAGCTCTCTCTCTGCCCTCCAAGTTGGCCATCTCCTCCCTTCTGGGGCTGCTCTAGCCAGGATGTCTTAACACTCCCTTCCTGGGAACAAGAAAAGCCCAGAAGCTAAGAGTTTTAGGTCCTGCTAAGGCAACATGCCCTTGGCCCTCCTACCAGGGACAGGTCCACTGCTGCCCCGCCCCCACCACTCCCCAGCATGCTGCTGTGTGGACCCAGCTCAGCATGGCTATTTGCACCCCGCCCCAGCTGGCTGTGGTTGCCCGGAGGCACCTTCCTATGACAAGCGCCCAGACACCACCACACTGCTCCCTGTCATCTGTCCAGCCAAGCCTGGGAGCACATTCCAGTCTTGCTCCCTTAGCTCTACTTCTGGGCAGGGTGTCTCCCTCTCCCAGCCCCAAACGGCTCTGGCAAGTCATACTTCAGGCCAGGCCCCTCTTGTTGGGAAGCCCCCTCAGGAGATGGATGAGTGGTTCAAGACATTGACATTTGGCTGTTATTCTGGCAGATCCCTGGGCTGTGTCTAACCAGGCCCTTTTCACCTGTGATTGAGTACTCTCCACCCAAGTGCTGCCATGGTCTTTAGAAGTCCTCTGTTTCCTGTCCCACATCCAGAACTGGGTGGGCTCCCAGCCAGCAGTCAGTGCAGGGCAATGCTGGCCACGCTGGATGGGGCATCCCTGGGAACTCTCGAGAGCAAAGATGTTAGTCTCCGTGTCCCCTGCAAACTGCAGTCCCATCACACAATGGTTCAAATGTGTCCACTGAGAAACTTAATTTATTTCCATGATACAGGCTGGAGGATCTGGAGCTTGAGCTCTGTCTCCTGCCCCATCCCCACTTGTCCCAGAGGAAGAGGGGCTTGGCCAAGAAGGCCAGCTGGGGCCTGAAGAGGCCACAGGTGGCTCCTTGGCTTGAGGGCCCATTCAAGCAATACAGCAAGCAGACACTAGTCAGGGTCACTTGGGTGGCCGATAAGCCAGCTTCCGGCTCTTCAGGACTGACCACTTATGCCTCTTCATGGCGTAGACCAGGGGCAACAGCAAGCCCATCATCATCAACATCTGGGGATGAGGCAGGCTCAGAGGAGGGAGGCACAAAGGAGCCCTGCCCCAGCTCCCAGCCGCTCCCATGCCCACTATGCCCCTTGCCCAACCCTTTCACCTTGAGCCCCATGCGTTTGCGATGGTCGTGCTCTGGCTCAGATGCCCAGCGCAGGAAGGTACACACATCCTTGGCTACCTGGGACATGGTAGCTGGGGTGCCTGGGCCAAGAACAAGTGATGAGGGCTGCTGTTGGGGTCCCTGCCCAACCTGCAGTAACCCTCAGAACATCCCCTCCATGGTAGATGGCTTCCTGCCCAAGGCTTCAGAAGGGATGGGACCGCCCCAGCACACAGCCCGGAGCTGGACAGGGCAGTGAAGACTGATCACGAGCCTGCTCAGATGAGCAGACAGTAGACATATCTCCAGCCAAGGAGAACACAGAGAAGCATCCTGGGCGGGGAGGGGGGTGCAGGAGAGCAGGACCCAGCATGACCACGCCCAGGGTGGGGGGGCCTCACCATCATCAAACTCCAAGACCTCATCGTAGATAGGAGGGGCCATGGCAATGGCCTGGCCAGGGAAGTAGGGATTGAAGTAGAGGCCTTCCCGTAGCAACACCCCGGTGGGCGGCTCGCAGTATCCCGTGAGCAAGGAGAAGACGTAGTCCTCGCCACCGTGCCTGGGACCAGATCCATGCCACCTCAGGCCCTGGTATGGGTTGGACCTTCCTCTCCTCCCTCCACCCCCTACAGGAAGCTGGTGTACCTAGCTCGCACGACGTAGCTGAGGTCAGGGGGCAGTGCTCCGTTGTTGGCTGCTCTGGCGGCCTCAGGGTTGGGGTACGGTTTGGGGAAGTAGTCAGACAGCTTCCCTGGTCTCATGAACATCTCCCCATCCTCATTGGGGCCGTCCTGAACTTCCACCTGCCATAGAGAGCAGCATCTGTACAACCCTGGTTTCTGTCCTTGGAGCCCCAACCCCTGGTTCCTCAGCAGCATCTCCACGCCGCGTACCTCTTCGGCCAGGGCCTTGGCTTCCTCCTCAGTGTAGCACACGCCCACCAGGTGCCGGTAAGCCACATAGTCCATGCTGTGGCAGGAGGAGCACACCTGCTTATACACCTGGAAACCCCTCCGAATGCTAATAAGGAAAGGGAAAGAATTAGTGGCGCCAAGGTCCCCCCCCCCCCAGTCCACCCAGAAACTCCCCTGGCCAACCAGCCGCACACCTGGTGTGGTCCAGGGAAGAGAGGAGGCCGCGATGGGACCACGGATAGCTGGGGGGGTGCAGCTCGAGGTCGGTGGCACTCACGGCAGAATGCAGAGCCACAGCCAGGCCTGCACCCCCTGCCGCCAGCATGCCCAGCGCTGACAGCATCACTTTCCGGCCCCGGGACAGGCCAGACTTCGACGACCAGGGCATTGCCTGCAAGAGCTCCGCTCAGCGCCTGCCAGAACACCACCCTGCCCTACCTGGGGATCTGATTCTCGGGGCCTACCACTCCCATGCATCACCCAGCACTGGCCACCTCCCGTGGACCGCCAAAAGCACACTCTGCGCCACTGCCCGCCCCACCCCTCCGCGCCGCTGACCCCGCGACCGTGAGTGGCCCATGAGGACTGGGTGTGAGGCGTGTTCTCGGATGCTGGGCCGGGGATCACGCCGAGGTGAGCAAGGGTGCTGGGGCAGGCCAAGGTCACAACAGCTGGCCGAGGTCAGGCTGAGGTCACTTCAGGACGCGGGCCCAGTCGGGAAGGCCAGAGCGGGAGTAGGCCTGGGTGCGCCCCCACGGGAAAGCCCTCAGCCCCGACCCGGCAGCGAGCCCGCCCCGCCGCCTTCACGCTCCGCACGAGGCGCCTCTGCTGCTCGCACGGGTGGGCGCCTGGCCCTGCCCCCGGGAGGCACCAGATAGGCAGGCAGCGGAGGCCCAGCAGGGGCCTCGTGTGGCCGAGGTCGCTCCCCCGCTGGCTGGCCCGCGCCCGGAGCCTCCCCGCCGTGACCTTCACGGGCTGCGGGGCCGCGCGGCGGCCGGGTACGGGCCAGCGCTCACCTGAGGCGTCCGCAATGGGAGCTGCCCGGGCCGCGCGCCGCACAACAGACCCCGGGCACGAGCGCCGGGCAGCCCCGCGGCCCGAGGACCCAGCACCGCCCCGCGAAGCGAAGCCGCTGCAGCCGCCATCTTGGCCCTCTTCAGCGCGGCCGCCGCTCCCGTCGGCCCTTGCGGCGCTAAGGGAGCTTTAGGCTCGCGAGAGCCGGGGGCGCGGGGTGGGGCGGGGTTTATCCGGCGTGGGGCGAGGCTGGTCCTCGCGGCGCTGCTTCGGTTGTCGTGGGGACGAGGGGTCGGGCTTTCCGCGTTGAGTCTCCCTGTTGCCGTGACAACGGCCAATATTCCGGCCTTCTCCTAGCTGCGGAGCCTACTCTTTCGGGTTGATGCGGCCCAGCTGGGTAGGGTGGTGCCTCGCGCTGCTCCGGCCTTCCCGCACGGCCCTCGACCGCGGCGGGCCCCTCACCGCTGCCAGGCCCACGCGAACACTGCTCTCCCGCATCCGAACGACAAGGATTATCAGGCACATGTGCCCGGTAACCGTCTTCCACAGCAGCCGGGAGCACAGCAGCCAAGGCTCCTCAGGAAACCGCGGTCAGTTTGCAGTGAAGGTGGGGAGGGAGTCAGGACCTCGAAAATCTGCTTCCCCTTCCACTCGCATTAAGAGCGAGGAAAAATCTAGCAGCAATGGTCAGAGTCAACTTTTTCAGAACTCTGGGAATTAACTGAAGGTAAAGTTGACCTTAAAATAAAACATCCATTTTTTTTCCAGAAAAAAAAAAAAAAGAGGGACGGGGGAGCTTTAACTCTGGACAAGCATGCAATAACAAGAACTAGAGGCAAGTCCAGGGAACAAAGAGAAAGACCTTCAGAGAGAGAAAGAAGAAAGCTGGGAGGGGCAGCTTTGAACGAAAATCCATTGAAGGCATCGGAGAGTTCAGGGTGAAGGTTTCTCACTGGCTGAGTTTGGGAAAGTTGAAGGCAGCATTATCCATTAACAGCCCCCCCCCCCAAAAAAAAAGGAAACAACCCAAATGCCTGTCATTTGATGAATGGATAAACAATGTGTGGCAGGTCCTCACCATGCCTGACAATTCAGCCATAGAAAAGAAATCCAGGGTGAACCTGGAGAACACTGTGCTGAGCGAGAGAAGCCAGTTAGGACAGACAGACAGCCTGATGTGTTAGTCTGCTTCTTCCCAGAGGAAGCAAAGTGGTGGAAGCAGAGAGGAGACCCCTGGGGCCAGGAGAGGAGGTGCATGCGGGGTAGGAGGTGGTCAGGTTGGGACAAAGTACTTAGAGGTGACTCTGGCGTATCCAGGAAGTGGAGGAGACATGGATGGGGCTTCAGAAGAAGGGCTGGGTGGGAGCCAGGATCTGAGTGTGGGCATCTAGACAGCTGAAGTCCGTGGAAATAGGTCACAGGTAATGCCGCCCGGAGAGCCACCAAGGTCCTGACACTCCTGAAGCCTCAGATGGAGTGGGCAACTTGGCAAAGGGTCGTCGAGGGCACCTAGGAGACCCGGACACCCAGGGCAGTTGCTGGAGGCTTCCCAAGCCCAAGGAGGGCATCTGTACAGCCTGGTAGTTGAGAGGCGGCTGGGTGTTGAGAAGTGGTTGAAGTGGCCTGCCCGGCCAGTGTCCCCAGGCCTCAGCCCTCGACTCCTGGTGGCCCTCACCCCACATAAGCAGACCTCCAGGCCCCTGTGGAAGGCAGCAGGTCTACCCCTGGAGCTTCTTTCTGGACCCAATGATTGAGCTCACCAGCATCTGATTCTTTCCTTCAGCACTCTGCGGTGTACCTGGTTCTGTGCAAGAAAGTGCTTGTCCCCATCGTGCTTCTCTTCTGGGGCTGGAGAGGCAAGGGAGGACTTAATATCGACCTTGATATTGAGGATGATTATTGACACAACACACATACACATACTTGTAAATCTGTCCCGCTGGCCCCACCTAAGGGTCCCCATGTGAGCTGGTTCAGCAGTAGCCACTCTTGTATTGGTTGGAAGTAGATCAGAGTGTCAGAAAACTCCGAATAACAGTGGCTTAAGCGAGGTAAAGTTTTCTCACTTTTCCTTGTCCCTGTTTAAGATGCCCAGTTTAGCAACCACGGGCTGCTGTGATGGCTTCTGATCCTCAGTGTGGGCTGTCCCTCATGTCCCAAGTATCACTCCCACATTCCTATGGGCAAGAGAGAGATGGGCTGTGAAGGTTAGGCTGTGTGAGGTCTCAGAGTTTGCCCTTGAAGTTGCTGCTCATTTCCTGTCAGCCACAGTGCAGTCACAAGGTAACACCTGGCTGCAGACAGACTGGGAGTGTCCTTATTTGGGGGTGGCCTGTGCTCCAGTCAAAGGTGGGGCTCTTTGACTCAGAACTGATGTTGGGGGAGCAGTTGCTACTGCCCCACATCTTCAGAGGAAAGTTCAGGGTTTTATATTCATCCCTTTTACATCTGACCTGCATCTTTACCACCTAGCTTAAAAAAAAAAAGTCAGGTGACAGTGAAAATCAGACAGGAATGCTCCCACAGTCCCCCTTCAACTCCTGTGTGCAGTCCCCAAGAATTCTGCACAGGTTAGCTTAGGTACAATTGAGGGAATCTGTTTTTGTTTTTACGTTATTTTTAGAAAGGGGAAGGGAGGAGGAAAGAGGAGAGAAACATCAATCAGTTGCCTGTAAGTGCCCTAACTGGGAACAGAACTGGTGACCTTTTGTTTTGCAGGATGATGCCCAGCCCCTTGGGCCATACCAGTCAGGACAAGATGATCTTTTAGCTTTTGTCCCCACTTGTGTGTTGCATGACTTAATGTATTTTCATGACTTGTGTTTAAGTGACTGCCTAAGTCCAGTTAAAAATGGCTCATTGAGGCCAAAGTCTGGCTGGAGGGAATTTTAGATGCCAGCGCACAGGGACAGAGCCTATAGGAGACCATGACAAAATGCAGATGTCCGCCCGCCTTGGATGACAGGAGGCCCGCGGACAACAGGTGCTGGGCAGACCAGGGGAGAGACCTAGAGAGGCCAGCCTGGGAGGTGCTCCTGGGGTGGGGTGGAAGCCTGAGGACCCTTGTTCCATATAGAAAGTGAATAGATTCTACCACCTTGGGGACCAGCAGGCCAAAGATAGACTGCTAGTCACAGTGGGTCTATGGCACCCTCGCCCTACCCTGATCCCCCCAATGCAGGTCAGAGGGCAAATGCCCCCTTAACAGGGGACCAACAGGGACCTCTGGAGACTCCAGAGAAAACCCCTGTGGGTGCTGGCCCCAAGACTGTGCCAGTTGGTCCCCCACTGTGGACCAGGAGCTGCTGACAGGAGACAAGCCCCACCACAGAAGCAGGGCCAGACAGGTGCTGGGGGCTGGGGCTTCCTCCATGGGACTTGTCAGGCCACGAGCAGTACCCAAAGGACACCGGTTGGCATTGATCTTCCAGGAGGCGCAGCTGTGCGGTGAACACTGAGGCTGGTGACGGCTGTACTCACTAACCCTTGGGGTGCTGGCAGGGGCACCTCAGCCCTCCTGACAGGAAAGCTTCCCCAGTGTGACATGGTGTTGCTTTTTGTTCCTCTACTGCTGTCCCAGTTCTTTTCAGGGGTCTCAGAATAAGCACTTTTCTGTGCTGGCCCATCAGTGTCCTCCCCTGGGGCACTGCAGCCCCACGGACTGCCTGCTTCTGGGTGGTGCTGGGTGGGCTCCCCCACCATGCCCACAATGGGCACCTGGCCTGGTTCAGCTCCAAGGAAGCTGGGCTGGGCACTCCTCTGCTCTATCCCAAGTCCACACGGAGGTCCTGGCCTTGGCTGGGCCCCCATGCCTCACCCTAGCCTCCCCTGCAGGGCTCTAGCCCCACAGCCCCAAGTACAATGGCACCAGGTCTCTGCCTGCTTTAGCTCCTGTCAGACCCCCTAGCCCTGCCCACTGTTTCTTCTTACCCAGCACTGTGCCTCCTACAGCACTGGACTGGGATGCAGAGACCTCTGGGGCTGGCAGAGATACCATCCAGGAAGTGGACAAGGGCAGTGCAGGAAGGGGCTGTGCAGGAATGCCAAGCCCTGCAGGCAGAGCCTCTCCCCCTCAGAACCAGGGGCCCACATGGACAAGGGACAGTGGGCCAGGAGACCCAGGACAACTGAGACAAAATACTGGTTTATTTCCTAGGAAGGAGAATATGAGGGTGGGGAGTTCCCACTGCAGTCTGCATGCCACAGGGCAAGCTATTGTCACTTCCAGAAGAGAACATTCCAGAAGAGCAACCAGCAGGGGTAGAGGCCCAGAGCCAGCAGTGGAAAGAGCAGGGCGCCATAGGTGTGGTGTTCCAGCACGCCCTGTGCCAGCGCCGCCAGGAAGAGCTGCCAGCCCTCAGCCAGTGACAGTGGCACCTCCTGCAGCTCCCGCCACAGGAACAGGCTGCCCAGCAGTGTGGCTGCTGGACTCGTCAGCACCAGCAGGGCAGCATAGATCGGCCTAGGTGGAGAAGCGGGGTCAGGTGGGCTCTGAGTTGGGGGCAAAGACACCAACTGGGGTGGAAGGGCACTGTGTGAGGGTGAGTCTGTGGTGAGGGGGTTGACCATCACATACCGGGGGCCATGGGGCTTAGTGAGCACGGCAGCGGGCACCATGGTAGCAGCCAGCAGGAAGCCCAGTGAGAAGTTGGTGAGGGTGATGCAGGCCAGCTGTAGTGCCAGGTAGATCAGGGCCACCAGCTTCAGTGCCACCCAGCCCCTGTCTGGGGCCTCTGTGCTCACCACACTGCAAGGCGAGGGACTCACAGTCAGCTGCCTGTGTGTCCAGGGTGTCCCCTGCCGGTGCCCACCCAGCCCAGCTCCTCACCGGTGGGTGTTGTGTGGGAGGGCCAGGCCAGCGACATAGATGGCCAGCAACGTCAGCACCACAGCCTCAGCCTCGGCCACAGGAAAGTGCTGGGTGGCCACATGCTGGCCCAGCACAGGTAGGACATAGAGGGCCAGGCCCATGGCCTGTGAGATCAGCAAGGGTGCCACAAGGGAAGCCAGCCCTATACCCTGCGGGGCACACAGGTGGCTGGAGATGGACCCTGGGGCCAGGCAAGGCCAAGGATCCTCACCACCCCTACCAGTTAAGACTGAATGGCAGCAGTAACCACCCCCTGGGAGTCTAGAAGCCCACCCTAGGGGCAGAGTGGGGGAATCGTCACCTGTGCTGGGGGTAGGGGAGGACTAGGCCCAAATGCCGCCCCAGCGTCCTTAGGGCCCACTCCGGCCTCGTGCAGCTGCATCCACAGTTCCAGGGCGTGGCCTAGTCAAGGACCCTGACGAGACGTGTGATGGGATCTACCTGGTGGGGAACCCAGGGCTCACCCCCACTCCCTCACCCCGAGGATGGGGTCTTTCCTCAGCCTAGAGTGAAGGAGACCTGAGGCCAGCCACAGGTGCACAGTGGGGTTGCAGAGGATATCTTGAGACCAAGGACCAGGAGCAAGAAGCCAGCAGCAGGCATGTAAAGGCCGATGGAGACAAAGCGGGAGAGGGCGGGGAGCAGGTAGAAGAAGAAGGACTGGTGCAGACGCTCCAGGAGGTGGTTGAGCTTGCGGAACATGCCCTCCAGAGCCCTGCCGGTGAGGGACAGGGTCAAGGCTGGCCAGGGCCCTAGGCACCCTTATCCTGCCTTGAGCATGGAAAGAAGGGACCAGAGCCACTTACTTGCCTACGGCCACCAGGTCATACTTATACTGGCGGAAGCTGTTGATGCCACGTAGGGTTAGAGCCTCCACGCGATAGCGCAGGAAGAGGCCATGGGGACCGTGGGGGCGGCCAGAGGCCTGCTGCAGAACCATGAGCAGCAGCGTCTGCAGACCCTGCAGTGGCCCGTCTACCGATGTCCATTCCTGGGGCTGCAACTTTGAGGTTTTGGAGACAGGGTCAGATACCCACCCCCAGGCCCCACACCCCCCAGGCAGGCAGCCCTACCTTGCCCTGCAGTGTGCACAGCAGCCCCCCTCTCTGGCAGAAGGTCTGGAAGAGGTTGAGCAGGTCAAGGTTGGGCAGCTGCCCATTGAGTCCCTCCACAGCCACATCAAGGCTAGTGACCACATCGCTGCTCAGCTCCAGGGCCACAGCTGCCTGGATGGCCCCAGCCCGGCCCTGCAGAGGGGATGACTGCATGCCTGTAGAAGCAGGTGTGTGAGCTGCCAATGGTGCTGGTGAGGACAGTGGCCTGAGAGAGGGGCCAGGGAAGGACAAGAGCACCCACCAGTGACATTGATGTCGTGGTAGGCTTCGAGCCAAGCCTCTGTGCCCAGAAGGTCGTGTTCTGTCACCAGGAAGATGATGTCTTTGGCCCAGTAAATCTGCCCTGGAGGCCAGAAGCAGGATGAGCAGGACCTGAGGCAGTGGCGAAACCCTCCCTTGCTAGGAATAGCCTCTGTGACTCACCCCGAAAGTGGGCAGCCAGTGCCAGCAGCAGCCCCACAGCCTGGCTGTTGGTAGACTCAGGGCCACAGGGTACGGTGAGCACCAGAGACTCGGTGCTAGCAGCGCGTGGGGCCCGCAAGATGCCATACACGTTGGTGCCTGAAACCATCTGCGAGAAGCATTGGTGGGGAAGCCTCAGCACGACCCCACCGTTATGTGGCTGAGGCCTCTCCCCCTTCTGCCATAGAATGCCCACTAGGATTTCCCCTGGCCCCAAACCACCCCCCCCCGCCTCCACTATACATAGCGCTCGTGGATCTCATCTGGAAAGGGCAGTTTACGGGAGAAACTCTGCGTGTAGACTTCCAGTCCCACTGACCGCATAGTCCGCTCCAGCCACACCACTGGCAGGGCCCTAGAGACACGAGAGAGCCTCTGAGTAAAGCTCCCTGGCCTTGACCACCTGTGTCCCCCATACCCGCGGCTCCACCGCTCACCCCGACTTCCTGCGGTGAGCAGCAAAGTCCCGGGCAAAGCTCCGGGCCCGGTCTCCACCCGCAAACTGCTCCTCTACCATGGTGGAGCCCATGGCGTTCTCCGACATGTACGTGCGCTGGGTCAGTGGCGGGAAGGCCAGCGCCAGGAACCAGGCGATGCCCGCCACATAGCTCAGCACGCTGCGGGGAGAGGGGGCGGAGACCATGGAGCGTCAGCCGGTCAGGGTCCCCGGCTTGTCCTCCACACTGGGGCGTGTCTGAGGGAGCTAGATGCGCAGTCCCGGCACCAGCTACTCCCGACGGGAGAGCTGACCCCGGCCTGATGCCCCGAGTAATGCCGGCAAGCCCCAGACCCTCGGGCCCTGCACTCACCAGAGCGGTGCGTTGAGGCGCAGAATGAGGCGGACGAGTGCGCGCCGACGCGCGGGGTCCGACAGGAGGCCCATGGAGGAACGGCTCCAGGACCACGCTCCGACAACCAGCCAAGGCCGCCGGCCCGGCCCACCCCTCTTCGCAAGCTCTGCACAGCGCCCGCCCGCACTTCCGGTCCCGTCGGCCCTTGCGCTGCCGCGCAAGCGCGGTACCAGCCCACCCAGCGAGGCCTCCGCACAGGATCGAGGCGGATGGGTGTGACCCGAGCACTAAGGGTTGGGTTCTCGGTCCGCAGTGCCAGAGCAGTGAGGACGACAGCCTGCCGTCGTGGCCAGTCGGCGCGAGGAGACAGCCCTGGTTCAAGGATTTTAGGCGAATCAGAAGAGGGTGAATTGGGCAGGTGGGTGGAAAGCTGGAGGCAGCAACCACAGCATGGATGCCCAGAGGAAATCGTGAAGGTCCTGCTACTGGAAATGAAAGATGAGTGCTCGTGGACTGGTCAGAAGGGGCTCCTGCGGACAGCGAGGCCAAGACTTGGGCAGACTCATTTCTATGGATGTCGGTCGCCAAAAATGGCAGTGGGTGCCTCAGTGGAATCACAGCAAGAACCCACCATCGGGGTCAGAGGACCACAGGGAGGAAGGTGTAAATGGCACTACCAGCCAGAATGGGTTTCAGAGAAGCTGGGGGTGCTGTCCAGGCCAGGAAGTGCCCAGGAATTTAGGGGAGGAGCAGACTCTGGGTGTAGATTGCAGGGGCTGGTGGTCAGGGCTCAGGCAGGGCTGAGAGCAAGAGATGGAGGGGGTGTCTGTGTCCCACTGAGGGTGGGTCAGACCTGCAGCGAGAAAACTCCAGGTGTGTCTGTACTTTTGGGGCAGAAGGTAAGTAGGACCGACCCAGAATTTTTAGGGAAAAAAGGGCCATTTAGTTCAAGTCATAGTCCCTAGGATGTGGGACATGCTCACTGCCCAATCTCCACGGTGGGTATGCACAGCCAGCTGAGTGTCACCTAAGCCCTTGTGCTCAGGGCCATGCACGTGCTGGGGTAAGGATAACAGGCTCTACAATCTGATGGCCTGGCTCCGTCTGCCAGGCCACACCTCATTGCTCCGCTGTCTTGAACTTTTCTGGGTACGAGCTGTTCTCTGCACCCAGGGACAAATGCTCCACACCTTCTTCTTCAGGATTTGAATCCTGAGTCTTGAAGTTCATGTGTGGTGGAAGGTCCCTAGTCACCCCCAAAAGCCAGCACCAGGCCAAGCTCTGAACTACTGTGGGGAGATCAAAGTGCAGTGGACTGTGTGTGCATTTTATTCTGGAAATGGATGGCAGGGTGCTCAGTCCCCCAGCAAGATAGAGGCCTCACGTACATGCTGCCGGACAACACGGTCCAGCAGGGTGTGCACATCTCGGGCAGCTCGGGCAGCGGCCTCGAGCACCCGCTCCAGGTGGTCCTCGTGAAGCCTGGCGTCCATCTCAAGCAGTGCAATCTGGCCTGAGGCCGGCAGCAGGGCCAGGGCCAGCTGGGGGCCACCTGCTGCTTCCTCTACATGGCTGAGGTCTGCCAGGGCTGTGCCGTCCACGAAGCCAGCTGAGCAGGCACACACAAAGTCCTGCATCGGTATCCCAGCATCCAGCACTGCCAGTGTGGCTGCATTCACACAAGCTGCATAGGTCCCACCATCTGCCTGCAGCACCTGCCAGGACCCCGCCCCAGTGGCATCAGTCCATTAGGCTGCCTGCCCTCACCCCCACTTCCCTCCATCTTCTTCCTTTCCCCAGGTTGAGGGCTGCTGCCTGCTCACCTGCACATAGATGTCAATCTGGGAGCGTGGGTGCAGCTGCGTAAGGATGGCTGCCTCAAAGGTCTGACGCAGCTGCAGACCCATCTCGCACGACTTCCGGTCTCCATGTGGCCGTCGCTTGCGCTCGCCTGTGCTGAAGGTCGCAGAACTGTACTGACAGTTTACCAGGGCCCTGTCTGGTAGGGCTCGGGCCCGGGAGCCCCGGATCTGGGGGGAGAAAGGACACGTGAGCCTGGCCCACTTCTCTCAGCTCACACTGCCCCTTCCTCTGGCTCCAGTTCCAAACCTCAGCCCCTCTCCTTCCAACATCCCACAAGTGCAACTACCCCCAAAACAGAGTCTGACAGAAGGCCACCTGGTCAACTGTAAGCCACCATTACCTGTGGGTCTTACCTCTCTTAACAGGCCTCCCTGGTCTCACCCTTGCCTCATCCCCTCCCAGTCCACTTTCCATTTGTAGCCAGAGCCAGTCTGTTTCCTCTACACAACCACATACTTCCAAAGGCTTCCCACCAGATAAAATCCTAAATCTTCCCCGTAGTCCACAATGCCCCAAGTTTGTGCCTCTCCAGAAACCTCTCAAGCTCATTTAGAATTATTCCCCATCTCCCCCGCCAGTGGCCTTTCTGCTCTGCAGAGGTGCCGTGCTTGCTTCCACTCCCTCTGGTCTGTCCTCTCTTAGCTTGCTCCCCCAGGAAAGCTGGGCTCCCAGACCCATGCACGGAGCAAACAATTTTTTCAGTGATTGTGTTGGCAGGCTTTGTTACAGCTCTGGAAGCTGGCAATAAAACGAAGGGATTTTATTTAAAATCTCTGTGCACGCGGAGCTTTCTCAAGATGAGGAAAGATAAGTTAAACTGGTGTCTGAGGTGACAAGTGCAGAGAGCGTGTAGTTGTAGGGCACAGGACATGCCACATGGATAAGGTGTCTGGGGAGGTGTCATTCATACAGTGAAATCGGAGTAGAGAGGTGAAGAAATGAGGGGGAGCATGCCTGGGACTCTGGAGGGCCAGAGGAGGGAGGAGTGGAGGGCGCAGGCGTCAGAGGCAGATGAAAAAGGCAGGAACCACCGTGTACCACAGAGCAAGGGCTTGAGCTTGTACTCCGGCAGCGTGCGCGAGCGGTCGCCCCCAGGGCCTCTGCTCAGCCTGGCGGCCGCCGCCCAACCCCCCCCCCCCCCAGGTCGCTCGGCTAGAGCCAAGTCCACTCGCCTCGTGCGGCCCGTAGACCACGGCCAGCGCCTTGGTGTTGCCCTGCTCGATGTAAGCGGAGCCGTCGGCCTGCGCGAACACGCCCATCCGCGCCTGGATCTTGCGCAGCTCCCCGGCGCGCCGCCCGTCCACTCGGTAGCCCTGGTCTGACAGGAGCTCCAACCCCGCCATGCTGTCGGGCAGCTTGAGCAGCTTCTGCCTTCCGCAGAGCCACACTAAACGCCCCACTTCCGACCTGATGGGAATCTGCAGTTTTCCACGGTCCGGTTCCCTACTTCCGTTTTCAGAACGACTGTTCCGAGCCTCCCAGATCCTCCACTTCCGGTTTCTTTCCTCACTTCCGGATCCCGTGGGCCTCGGCGGGGCTGGTCCGGTTCCGTAGCGCAGTTCCTGCGGCCGCCGGGGTGAAGAGGCGCTGCGGCATAATCGTCCGGTCCCACACCGCCCTGATAGGCCGCGCCCGGCTCGCCTTTGCTTCTCTGGATTCGGGAGTCCCCTTAGGGGTTCGCGGACGTAAATGCATCCATTCGCCCAAACTGAGACACACTTTCTCCTGTTTTCTTACCATTTAGTGCTCACATTTGTCCATTTGAAAATAGACACGTGCTTCTGTACTATGCATGCACATGGTGATATTCTTTTTAGAGCAGTTTTAATTTTTCACGTTGGCTTGGTTCTTCTGTCCGCACGATCCTCCCCCTATTTCACTTATCCTTATAAATGGTGATTTCCATGTGTTTCTTCATGCTCACATAATTACATACAAATTATTCGCAAATACGTGTGCAGTCAGACAGCTTTTGGAACTCGGGTTATTTTTTAATGGGATCATTTCATACACTTTGTTTTTCAATAAAAAAATAACCATATGAAATCCGTTTAAATAGTTCTGCGTAACTCAGTATTTTGTTGGCTGCATGAAACCCATGGTGTAGGTGTTCCAGGATGTATCCTGCCACTGAGCAGTGGTGTATGTCCAAATCCAAAAGGTGGGTCCTTTCAAAAGCAGTTACAATTGCCGACATCTCCTGTGCACCTGTCACTAACCTGTCTCATTGCATGTTTTTTAATTTTTTTGTTGAAAACTTGACATTTTAGATGATTTTTAGGGGCTCTGGATTATAATTAGCCAATGTTTCCTTTGGTGTGTTGGTGCTGCTGTTTCGTTAGTTTACCTGCCTACTGTTTTGTCTGGGGCAGCACTGTGAAGTCAGTTCTTCCACAGTGCGCAACTTCTGATGTCACTGCTCACCCCCCACCCCCAGTTCTTATGTTTAAGCCTGGTGTCCTGGAAGTCATATCTCGGTCAACGCAGCTTACAGTTCCGCCCCCTGTTGGGTAAAGAGTGTGCTTTAACTCCCGGAGCCAGTGAGGCACCGCCCTCTGCTGATGGACTAGTGTGTGGTCAGGGAAAAATTTCAAGTGTGTCCCACATCCAGCCAGTGTAACAGGCTGCAGAACGTCCTCCACAGACATCCAGGTTCTGATCCCCAAAGGCTGTGAATGTACCTTATAAGGCAAAGGAATTTTGCAGATGTGATTATGTTGAGGACCTTGAGATGGGTAAACTGTCCTGGATTATCCCAGGAGGCCCCAAATGTAATCACAAGTATCCTTTTAAGGTAGAGGCAGAGGAAAACGTGGTTACAGGACAAGGCAAGGTGACCTTGGAGGCAGAGATTGGAATGATGTCACCACAAATCAAGGCACACTGGATGCTGGATAAGGCAAGGAGTGAATTCTCTGGAACCTCCAGAAGGAACCATTCCTGCTGACACCTGAATTTTAGCCCATAAGACTCAGTTTGGACTTCTGGCCTCCAGAACCAAAAGAGAATAAAAGTCTGTGTTTTAAGCCTTCACGTTTGTGGTTATTTGTTAACTGGTAATTTCATAACTTCTCACCACTAAGATGTCCATTGTCTTCTACAATACCAAACACAGCCTCCAAAGAAAGCCAGCCTGCTCAGCCTTACTGGGGAGCTGCTCGGCTTTCCATCCTGCCTCCCAACCTGGGCAGGGGGGCTAGGGGAGCTGGGGGCAGTGTGGAAGCCTGACCTACAGGTGGGTGTCGAGGGGGCTCTTAGGCCTTACCCCCACCCTGCAACTGGAAGTCCCGTGATCTTGGCTTAATCCTCTTGGAGTAGAGCTTTCAGGACATGGATTCGGGATGGGAGGAAGCAGTTTCTGATTCAAATGCCAGATGCCTGTTGTTATCAAAACTTAGTAGACCTCCTTGAATGAATGCTGTATGTCCTTCGGTCATATCCAGAGGGAGAGGGTCATGCAGTCATGGAAGATCTGCTCTGGCCAGCCCTCTCAGGGTCAAGGCTCGGCACAGGCACTGTCACTTCCCTCTGGTCAGAAATAAGACCCACGGCCAGTTCAGATGGTGTGGCATAAGATATGGACTCTCTCGAGGGGCGAGCAGCACATTCCTCTTTGGGTGGCCATCTACATCTCAGGTGAGGCCTCTGCTACCTCCTCCGGCAACTGGAAGGGACTGCCTTTGTCAGGACAGAGGGCTCATGGGGGTTTGGGAGGGCAAGGTCGCACAGCAGTCACTGGAGGCCCTGCCCCAGGTCTCAGAGCAAGGACTCTGCCAGGGGCAAGTGCACAACAGCTCTGCCCCTTTTAGCATCAGGTCCTGAGAGCTTCCTTCACTTGGGAAGCTATACTAGTTTCCTGCTGCTGTAGAGCAAGCAGCCACAGTGAAAACTACACCTGTTTGTTGCCCTGGCTGGTGTGGCTCAGTGGGTTGAGTGCCAGCTTGAGAACCCAGAAGTCATTGGTTCGATCCCCGGTCAGGGCACATGCCTGGGTTGTGCACCAGGTCCCTAGTCGGGGGTGTGTGAGAAGGCCAGGATTGATGTATCTTTCTCGTATCGATGTTTCTCTCCCTTTCTGTCTCCCTTCCCTTCTCTCTAAAATAAATAAATACAATTTTTTAAATTGTTATTCAACCCTGGCTGGAGTGGCTCAATGGATTAAGCACCAGCCTGCAGACCAAAGGGTCCCCAGTTCCATTCCCGGTCAGGGCACATGCCTGGGTCGCGGCCAGGTTCCCAGCCCAGGTTGTGCAAGAGGCGACCACGCATTCAGGTTTCTCTCCCACTCTTTCTCCCTCCCTTCCCCTCTGTTTAAACATAAAGAAATAAAATGTTTAAAAATAAACCCTGTTGTTCAGGTACAGTTGTCTCCATTTTCCCGCCACCAATTTCCTGCCATCATTTCCCCCTCAACCCACCGCCCACCCTAAATAAATAAAATCTTAAAACAAAACAAAAAAAGACTCTACCCCACAACCCTTACAAATAGGATTCTTTCTTAATTGTACCCACCATTAAAATGGTCATTATTTCCATGGAGATTAAGTGCAGTTGCCTCCCAGCCCCCGGAACACGGCTCTCAGAGCCATCCCCCAACAGGCAGCACCAGTGAGAACTCCCCACCGAGGCCTGTGGGGCAGGCACACGCCCGCCCCAGCAGAAGCTACTTGTTGATGAGTGGACACTGCACTGAGCAGACCAATGAAAAGGAACTGTCAGTGTGAAATGAGCAATAACCATAAAGTAAGGGAACGCCATGGGGTGGCTCCTCTGCCCCAGGAATCTGCAGTCCTCAGACCTCTCATGGGCCTGCCTGCTGCCTGCCTCGAGGAAAAGGCCCCGAATGCGGGGCCTCGTCCCGGGCACCTGCCCTCCGTAGGGAAGTGCCACTCTCTGTGCCCTGGACACGCCCAGCACCACCCGGTCCCTCTCTCGGCCTCCTGCTCCAGCCCGACATGGCCAGCAGCCCACCCTGCTCCCGAGCCCGGCACCTGAGTCACCGCTGTCCCGCGCCTGCCGCCGCCGCTCCAGGGGCCCCTCCCTCAGGGTAGCTCAAACACCCACCGTCTGGACCAGCAATTTTCAACCAGTGTGCTGTACGAATTTTTTAAAAGACTTTATTTATTTATCTTTAGAGGGAAGAGAAGGAGAGAGGGAGAGAGAAACATCAATGTGTGGTTGCCTCTCATGTGTCCCCTGCCGGGAACTGGCCTGCAACCCAGGCATGTGCCCTGACTGGGAATCGAACCGTGATCCCTTAGTTCGCAGGCCCACACTCGATCCACTGAGCTACACCAGCCAGGGCCTGTAAGAATTTTTAAGACATGAGATATCTGACGATTTAGTCAGGGGCACTGCCCTCTTAACCCTTACATTATCAAATAAAATCAACAACAATCAACACCACAATACCCATCCATTGTGAATGAATAAAAATTATACCTATTTTTTGTCAGATCGGTAAAAGACATATTTGCGGGTGTGCCGCAGAATTTTGGTAATTAGTTTATGTGCATCATGAGATGAAAACCGTTGAAAATTGCTGCTCTAGACCCTTCAGATGCTGTGCTGGCCGTAACCACTCCAACACTGTGCCCGGTCACCTACCCCGCCACCTGGCATGGGCGGGCGGGACGCTGAGCGCCCAGGCGCGCGGGTGGGGGGGATGCCTGAATCTCGACTGCCCTCCCTGCAACACGTCTGTGCTGGGCTGGGATGAAGAAGCTTCTGTCCCCCAGTAGGGACCTTTTTACAGGGACCCCAAAGCCTGGAGTGAGGCTAGATTTGCTGATTATTTGGCCCTGGGAGGGGAGGCCAGAGGTCAGAGGTCAGAGGTCCTGTACTCTCTGCTCTGCTCCAAGCAGTTGGAACTGCTGAGCCCTGGAATGGAATGCCGTCAAGGCGTGGGGGCAGGGGCAGTGCTGACCTCACAATGGCAGGGCCTACTGTTCCTGGCTGGCGGCTGCTGCTGCCATCTGCTGCCCCCGCCAATGCCGGGCATGTCCCTCCTCAGCAGCTACGAGGGTCTGCGGCATGAGATCCAGAGGCTGGCACAGGAGAACGAGGAGCTGCGGCGACTCGTGCAGCTGATCCAGGAGAACCAGGAGCTGAAGCTGGTGCTCAGGAACCGGGGCAGCACCCTGGGCTTCTGCAGCTCTGGGCTCCTGGCTGAGGTGGCCTCCAGCCCCCGCCTGCCCCGGCGCAAAACCATCAAGTTCAAGGATGCTGAAAAGGGTGAGCAGGGGCTGCAGGGGCTCTACTCCGGGGCCTGCTTTGTGCCAATACATTGAAAAGGAGGGGGGAAATTCCTGCCCCGGGGCTATGCTATGCCATGGGCTCTGGAGGAATTTGAACAAAGCAAGGGCCCGGGGCAGAGGGACTGCTCCTTTAATAGGTGCAGCCGAGAGAAGGTGGCATCACTGAGAAAATGACATTGGACCAGAGCTGGACGGAAGTGTGGGAGACACGGGGCTGGGGTGGAGTTTTCTCAGTGAACAGTCTATGCAAAGTCCCTGAGGTGGCAGTGAACTGGGTTTGCTGAGGCCAGTGGTGGGGCAGCGGAGGGTAGACAGGACCAGGAGGGCCTCACGGGGCAGAGGGAGCCTGAGGGTCATGCTCTGTGTTCCCCCACCCTGGCTCCTTGACTGATGGGGGACAGGCTGGGATGGACAGTCTTGGTGAGAAGTGAGGGGCTTGCCTAGGGCAGGGGAGTGAAGAGTGGTGGGCTCTGGATATCCGTGCTGCCGGCTGAAGTAGCAACAGGACTTTTGGCAGGTTGGGGTGGGGTGCAAGGAGGAGGGACTCCACCCAAGAGGGCGCATAACGTTTGGCCAGACGCTGCAAATGGGCAGCTGCCCTGGAACAGGCAGGTGGCAGGTGACCCCAGGCCTCGTGGCATTAGCACGACGCTCTGGGGCTTCTGGCCGCACAAAGTGAAGGGGAGACACGAGTGGGTGCCCGGGCAACGCACAGCCTGACGGCAAGGTGTCTGGAGGCGGGCCGCAGGGGAGGAGACGCGCGGCACCGCGCCACAGCCCCGCCCCGTCCGGGAGCGGGCTGGAATGCCCCCACCAGCTGTACTTGGGAGGCCGGCTGCGGAGCGCGGGGGCGGCTCTTGGCAGGCTAAGCTTGACGCCAATGGGAGAGTCGGGCGTGCCAGGACCTGTCGTGCAGGGGCGGGCCCGCTTCCGGGCCGGGGCTGGCGCGGGCAAGCCTTGCGGCCCAAGCGGACGGCAAGAGACGCGGAGCCACCAGGCCAGGTGGGCCCGGGACCAGGACCGTCGCCACCCCCCTCCAGGGCGCTGCGTCCCCGCTCCGCAGAACTCCGGGCTGCGGCCCCGCCCCGTCGCCTGCGCAGGCTCCGGCGGGTCCGGTGTCCTACAGGCCTTGGCCCAAAGGTCGAGCCGAGCCGTTGGGAAGTGGAGCTCCCCGCACCTGCTCCAACCCCGTGCCTCCCCGTGCTCGAGGGACGCAGATCCCCCAGGTCCAGGGCTCGCAGCGGCGCCGCCTTCTCAGGAGCCTGTTTCAGACCCCCTCCCTGCTGACGCCCCTGCCTCTCTGCCCAGTTCTCCCAGGACTCCAGCCGGAAGAGTCACTGCTGGACTCCAGCCCCGCCACCATGGGCAGCCCTGAGGGGTGCTTCCATTTTGCCATCGACCGCGGAGGCACCTTCACGGATGTCTTCGCCCAGTGCCCCAGGGGGCATGTGAGGGTCTTGAAGCTGCTCTCAGAGGACCCTGCCAACTATGCGGACGCCCCCACTGAAGGCATTCGCCGAATCCTGGAGCAGGTGGCCACGCAGGGCTGTGGGGTGGGGTGGGGTGGGACCCCAGGGCCAGAGGCCTGACACTGACCCTGTGGTTCCCAGGAGGGGGGCATGCTGTTGCCAAGGGACCGGCCACTGGATACCAGTCGCATCGCCAGCATCCGCATGGGCACCACAGTGGCCACCAATGCACTGCTAGAGCGGCGGGGGGAGCGGGTGGCCCTGCTGGTGACACGTGGCTTCCGAGACCTGCTGCACGTGGGCACCCAGGCCCGCGAGGACCTCTTTGACCTGGTGAGCTCACCCTTGCCAGCAGGTGGCTGGGTCCCCTCGAGGTAGGCAACCCCTGGAGTGTCGGAGCCAGCTCAAGGCTATCGGATGGGCAGAGAGGAGGTTCTGGGCATGCTCAGCAGAAGCACTCAGAGTGGTCATATGTGCTACTCCTGTCTGCCACCGTGCCCTGTCCTGGACCCCAGGTGTGCGGCAACCCAAGCCAGCCTGTTCAGGGTGAGGGGTGGGAGTCCACCCCCCCATACTGCTGGAGGAAGGAGCTGCTCTTGTGGCGGGGCAGGTGGCCACATTCAGGTGCCTGGGGGCAGAGAGCTGCCCCATGGGTGGGCTGTGCTGGGGCCACACTTCTGTCTCCTGGGCCTGTCCACTGGCATGCTGGGACATATCCCCTCGCCTGCAATGCCCACCCACGCAGGACCCCAGCAAGGACCCCCAGGCCTGGGCCTTCTCTGAGCCTCTGTCCGCCCCCAGGCCGTGCCCATGCCCGAGGTGCTGTATGAAGAGGTGCTGGAGGTGGATGAGCGTGTGGTGCTGTATCGTGGGGAGCCGGGCACTGGGGCACCTGTCAAAGGTGTGTGCCTTGAGTGTTGGGGCCTGGGGGCGGCAGGGTCTCATGGGTCTTTGATGGGTGGTCTTGGCTTCCCCACAGGCCGCACAGGGGATCTGCTGGAAGTACAGCAGCCCGTGGACCTGGGGGGCCTGCGTGGGAAGCTGGAGGGGCTCCTGTCCCGAGGCATCCGCAGCCTGGCGGTGGTGCTCATGCACTCCTACACGTGAGTGTGAGCTGGAGCTGGGGGAGGGGAGCTGCCTGGGCAGGAGGCCAGGGTGAGGTGGGGATTAGGGCTGAGTGGGGGGTGGCGGTGGGAGGTGCAGCCCTGTGGGTTGTTGTCTCAGGTGGGCTCAACACGAGAAGCAGGTGGGCACCCTGGCCCGGGAGCTGGGCTTCACACACGTGTCACTGTCCTCGGAGGCCATGCCCATGGTGCGCATCGTGCCTCGGGGGCACACGGCCTGTGCCGACGCCTACCTCACCCCTGCCATCCAGCGCTACGTGCAGAGCTTCCGCCGGGGCTTCCAGGGCCAGCTCAAGGTGAGGCCCCCTGCCCGCTCCTGCTGCCCCGTGGGTGCCCGGTCCCTCACCACCGCTTGCCTGCCTGCAGGACGTGCAGGTGCTGTTCATGCGCTCCGACGGCGGCCTGGCGCCCATGGACTCCTTCAGCGGCTCCCGGGCTGTGCTGTCCGGCCCTGCCGGGGGTGTGGTTGGCTACTCTGCCACCACCTACCGGGCAGAGGGAGGCCAGCCCGTCATCGGCTTTGACATGGGAGGTACGAGGGCAGAAGGATGGGATCTGGGTGGGGCTGGGCAATGCCAGGCATCCAGGTCTGTGGGGTGACTTCTCACCACCAGCCCGCCCCCCAGGCACGTCCACCGACGTCAGCCGCTATGCTGGGGAGTTCGAGCACGTCTTTGAGGCCAGCACAGCAGGAGTCACTCTCCAGGCCCCCCAGCTGGACATCAACACAGTAGCAGCTGGTGGGGGCTCCCGCCTCTTTTTCAGGTCAGCTCCCCGACCTTGGTTGGGACCCCCTGTCTGCCTCCCAGCCTGCCCCCAATTCCAGTCCTCCCTCCCCCAAGGTCCGGCCTGTTTGTGGTGGGGCCAGAGTCTGCAGGCGCCCACCCAGGCCCTGCCTGCTACCGGAAAGGTAAGACCTGGACTTGCCTGAGGGACCCTTCCATGCTGCCCTGGCCCCCACCCCCTGCCTCTTGAGCCCCGCTGCCCACTCCTGGTCCCCCGATCCCAGCCCCCAACCCCACACTGTGCACACCTCCCAGGGGGCCCCGTGACAGTGACGGATGCTAATCTAGTGCTGGGTCGCCTGCTGCCGGCCTCCTTCCCCTGCATTTTTGGGCCGGGAGAGGACCAGCCACTGTCCCCTGAGGCCTCCCGAAAGGCCCTGGAGGCTGTGGCCACCGACATCAACAGCTTTCTGACCAACGGGCCTTGTCCGGCCTCCCCGCTGAGCCTGGAGGAGGTGGCCATGGGGTTCGTGCGTGTGGCCAACGAGGCCATGTGCCGGCCCATCCGCGCCCTCACGCAGGTACGCCTGCCTCTGCCCTCACCTCCCGGCCCGGCCCCACCCCTCCCACTCAGGCAACGCCGTGGACGGGAGGGGTTGGGAGCCTGGCGGGGCAAAGTAAGCCTCTGACCCTCTTCTGGCTTCCCAGGCACGAGGTCATGACCCTTCAGCACATGTGCTGGCTTGCTTTGGGGGAGCTGGTGGGCAGCACGCTTGTGCCATTGCCCGAGCCCTGGGCATGGACACCGTGCACATTCACAGGTGTGTCTGGGCCTGGGGCATGTCACCTAGGGTGGGGGACCCCTTTTGGGAGGCCGCTCTCATCGCCCGTGGCCCTGTGTCCTCAGGCACAGTGGGCTGCTGTCGGCACTGGGGCTGGCGCTGGCAGATGTGGTGCACGAGGCCCAGGAGCCCTGCTCCCTGCCCTATGCGCCTGAGACCTTTGTGCAGCTGGACCAGAGGCTGAGCCGGCTGGAGGAGCAGTGTGTGGACGCCCTTCGGGCCCAGGGCTTCCCCAGGTGGGGCTCTGGGGACGGCCGGGCTGGGCAGGGAGGGCTCATGCATCCCAGGTGAGCTGCAGGCTGGTCTGATGCCCGCCTCCCCAGATGGGGCTGGCCCCCTGGAGCAGTGCTCAGGGGGGATGGACCGTGAGACTAGAGGAGGCAGGACAGGCGGCCTTGCAGGGAGCCCTGTGTGAAAGGCCTGCCTGGTGACCACGGCAGGTCCCAGATCAGCACTGAGAGCTTCCTGCACCTGCGCTACCAGGGCACAGACTGCGCCCTGATGGTGTCCGCCCACCAGCACCCGGCCACTGCCCGCTCGCCCCGTGCCGGTGACTTTGGGGCAGCATTTGTGGAGAGGTAGGCAAGCTCCTGTCCTGGGAGCCCTGGTGGGGGGGCCTGTGGGCCTGGCTGTCTGGCCCTGATGGCCCCCTCGGGTCGGTGGGTGCAGGTACATGCGGGAGTTTGGCTTCATCATCCCCGACCGGCCGGTGGTGGTGGACGATGTGCGGGTGCGGGGCACTGGCCGCAGTGGCCTTCGCCTTGAGGACGTCCCCAAAGCCCAAACGGGGCCTCCCCGGGTCGACAAGGTTGGTGACCCTGCCTGTGCACACCCACCCGCACCGTCAGGCACACAGGAAGTCCTGGGGTTGGGTGCTGGACCTGCAGCCTCACCCGCCCACACCTCCTCAGGTGACCCAGTGCTACTTTGAGGGGGGCTACCAGGAGACTCCCGTGTACCTGCTGGGAGAGTTGGCCTATGGGCACAAGCTTCAGGGGCCCTGCCTCATCATTGACAGCAACAGGTAGGCTGAGGGCCGGCCGGGTGGGGCCATAGGGGTGTGGGTTGGGACTACAGTTGTGGGGGCCTGAGTTAGCTGTGGGGCCCTGGTGGGGGGTTCTGGCCCAAGGCTGCAGGGGTCTGAGGTACTCTTGGGTCCCATCATGGCTGGGATGTGCTCCGGCCTGGGGCTGTGGGGTCCCTGGTTGGGACTGTGGTATGGCCTTGCCCCCAGCACCATTCTGGTGGAGCCAGGCTGCCAGGCAGAGGTGACTGAGACTGGGGACATCCGCGTCTCAGTGGGGGCCGAGGCCCCCAGCACGGTGGGTGCCCAGCTCGACCCCATCCACCTGTCCATCTTCTCGCACCGATTCATGAGCATTGCTGGTGAGTGACACCACCTTCCCCCGGGCCCTGCTCCCTGCAAGTGTCTGGTGGATGCTCTGCCTACCGGGCAGAGGTGGGCACAGAAAGTGTCACCTGGGGGAGAGGCAGAAGCAGAATCTTGGCTGGTGACAGGGCGGGCACTGAGGCCCTGGCTCTGAGATGGCACAGGCCCTCTGAACTAGTAGACGTTGAGAAGAGTGTGACTCTCCTCCTACTAGCAGCCCCGCGTGATCTGGGATTGTCTTTGGCCTGTGGACAGTGTGGACAGGAAGTGGGCTCAGCGCCTCAGACCAATCTGAGCAGCATCGGGCCGGGGGCACCAGGCTCTCTCCCTGCCTGGCAGGGCAGACTGACGTGGGGCCCCAGCTTCTTGTTGGTCCTGGCTCTGGGACTTGGGTGCTGCCCTTCCATGCCCGGGTGAGCTCTGGGTGGGGTGGGGCCAGCGGCACCTGGTCACTCTGTGCCTTCAGAGCAGATGGGCCGCATCCTGCAGCGCACGGCCATCTCCACCAACATCAAGGAGCGCTTGGACTTCTCCTGCGCCCTCTTTGGGCCTGATGGGGGGCTGGTCTCCAACGCCCCCCACATCCCTGTGCACCTGGGCGCCATGCAGGAGACCGTGCAGTTCCAGGTTTGGTGGGCCCCTCCTCCTGCCCTTCTCATTGGCCCCGCCTCTGCCCCCCTCTCCTCCCCACTCTCAACCTGTGTACCGGCTTCAGATCCGGCACCTGGGGGCTGACCTCCACCCTGGTGACGTGCTACTGAGCAACCACCCCAGCGCAGGGGGCAGCCATCTGCCAGACCTGACCGTCATCACGCCGGTGAGGGCCACTGCCTGGGAACCTTGGGGGGCAGGGAAGCCACGTCGCTGACTGCTGCCCTCCGCTCCTAGGTGTTTTGGCCAGGACAGACCCGGCCTGTATTCTACGTGGCCAGCCGTGGGCACCACGCAGACATCGGAGGCATCACGCCAGGCTCCATGCCCCCGCACTCCACCACACTGCAGCAGGAGGGTGCTGTCTTTCTGTCCTTCAAGCTCGTCCAGGGAGGAGTTTTCCAGGAAGAGGGTGAGCAGCAGTGGGCCTAGGATGCAGCCCCCCGGCCTAGGCCTGGCTTGAAGCTGGGGGAGCCAGGTGGTGACATCTCTCAGAGGCGACCAGAGGACTGGAGATGAGTCCTGCCTGGGCCCAGGAAGGCCTCTGTGGTTTGGGAGTGGGGAGTTGGCCAGGACACTGAGGGGACTGGGTACAGAATGGCGAGGAGTCTATTTCAAGGTGTTTACAATCTGTACTTGGTCTGCACTGGGTGGATGCTGAGCCTTAAGCTGGGCAGCAAGGATGGGGTGGACACAGCTGTTTTGGAGGTCAGTGTTGGTATTGATGGGATTTGGGGGTGAGGGGAACAGTTGAGGACCAACAGCTGGCGGACGGAGGTTCTGGCTCTGAGTGGGCACAGAGCAGCTGCGGGGAAGGTGGGACGGAGCGGCAGTGAGGGCTGGGAGGGAGGAGCGTCGGGAAGTACGCAGCTGGCTTGAGGCTGTCGGCATCTAAGGGCCCAGGGGCCATCCCAGAGTCACAGGAAGTCGTGTGGGGTGGAGGGTGGTGTAATAGAGCCACAGGCTGCCGAGGACATGAATAGAGTGACCTAGGTCTGGCGGCTCCTTTGGTCAATCTGGGGTGAGGGCAGGGAGCAGGGGTCATGGGAGGGGCATGCACAGGAACCTGGCAGAGGGCCCAGTGGCCAGGAAGCTTCAGAGAGAACCTTGGCCTAGACGTGAGCAGGGCTATCCTGAAGTGAGGAATGGCCTCTGGGCCGGGACCTGCTCTGCTCAAGGGGACACTGGAGTCTTTGTCCCGATCTGGGGGGGGGGTCACTGCACAGATGGTCACACTGCTAGTCTTTCAAAACAGTTGGCTTGGGGGCCAGTGGGGCCACAGGGCTGAGGGCAGTGTGAGTGAGGGACAGTTAAGGGAAGTGGTTTTTCTTCTGGGGACCAGGAGGGAGGCCCAGAAAAAAGCCTATAAAAGGTGGGTTCCGGAGGTGGAGAGGCAGGACAAGAGGAAATGAAGGAAGGAGGAGACTTTGCCGAGGGACAAACATGCCTGTCACACACTGTCCTCTTTGGCCCCACTGCCTGCCCCGTCCTGGGGTGTTTGTGGGGGTGGCTGAGGTGTGGGAAGGAGAAGGTTCAGCCAATGGGAGGAAGCTGTGGGTTTTCAGGGCACTGGAGGGAGTCAGCAGGGCCAACATGGGGGCCCACAGTGCCCAGCAGAGGTACAGCAGGTACGGAGAAGGCAGCCCCCAGGCTGGAGAGCGGCTTACTGGTGACTCTGCACATCCAGCCGTTACAGAGGCCCTGCGGGCTCCAGGCAAGATTCCCGGCTGCAGCGGGACCCGGAACCTGCACGACAACCTGTCGGACCTCCGAGCCCAGGTGGCAGCCAACCAGAAGGGCATCCAGCTGGTGGGGGAGCTAATCGGGCAGTACGGTCTGGACGTGGTGCAGGCCTACATGGGCCATATTCAGGTGGGCCTGGGGCAAGAGCACGGGGGTGACTCTGTGCCAGCCCCCAGGCAGCTGGGCAAGTAGGGGAGGGAAGCACCTGGCCCACCCAGAAGGCGGCATGGCTAACTCTGAACCCAATCCCTGCCAGGCAAACGCTGAGCTGGCTGTTCGGGACATGCTTCGGGCCTTCGGGACCTCTCGGCAGGCCCGGGGCCTACCTCTGGAGGTCTCTGCAGAGGACCACATGGATGATGGCTCCCCCATCCGACTTCGTGTGCATATCAACCTGAGTCAGGTCTGGCTGCCGGCAACTGGGGCGGTGGAAGGGGGCGAATGGGATGTGTGGAGTATGGCAGCCTTAGAGCTGATGACCTCTCCTTTGGGTGGCCAGGGCAGTGCGGTGTTTGACTTCAGCGGCACTGGGCCGGAGGTGTTCGGCAACCTCAACGCACCGCGGGCCATCACACTGTCTTCCCTCATCTACTGCCTGCGCTGTCTGGTGGGCCGAGACATCCCGCTCAACCAGGTACGCAGGCAAGTCCTGCATGTGAGGTCAGCAGGTCTACCCCAAGCCCCAGGTTACTCGGAGTGAGCCTGGGTCAAAGTCAGCCCAGCAGCCCAATAACGGACTGCTGGTCCCGGAGGTGCTGGTTGTGAGAAGACAAGTTTCTCCCGACTGCCTCTGAGAGCTGGCCCCTGGCTGCACAGGGCTGCCTGACGCCAGTTCAAGTGGTGATTCCTAAAGGATCCATCCTGGACCCATCCCCAGAGGCGGCCGTGGTGGGCGGCAACGTGCTTACGTCGCAGCGCGTGGTGGACGTCATCCTGGGCGCCTTCGGAGCCTGCGCCGCCTCCCAGGTACGGCAGGCGGGTGGGTGCCTCTAGGGTTTGCTGGGGGTGGGGGCTGGGGAGGCCGCGGGCTGGGGCTCTCAGGGAGTGGATGTCGCCCAGGCTCGCAGCCATGGCTTGTCCCTGCCAGGGTTGCATGAACAACGTGACCTTGGGCAACGCCCACATGGGCTACTACGAGACTGTGGCTGGAGGTGCAGGCGCGGGCCCCGGCTGGCACGGGCGCAGCGGCGTGCACAGCCACATGACCAACACACGCATCACGGATCCCGAGATCCTGGAGAGCAGGTGCGAGATGTGGTCGGGGCTCAGGGAGATGGGCGGGGCTGGGCAGCCAACGGCGCGCGGGGGGGGGGGGCGGCTGTGCAGAGCCATTGGCCTACGCAGGTACCCAGTCATCTTGCGTCGATTCGAGCTGAGGCCGGGGTCCGGGGGCCGCGGCCGCTACAGAGGCGGCGATGGTGTCGTCCGTGAGCTGCTGTTCCGCGAGGAGGCGCTGCTGTCCGTACTGACCGAACGCCGTGCCTTCCAGCCCTACGGGCTCCACGGTGAGCACCTCCCTCGATCCCCCCCCCCGCCCTTCCAGCAGCCCAGTCTCTCTCCCTCACCCTAACCCAGCGTGTTTCCCCTCTATCTTCTCCCTCTCTCCTGGTTTCCCCCTATCTCCTTACCAAGCCACCCCATGCCTCTCTCTTCCTTGCTTCCTTGGCCACCCCGCGCCTTGCCTTTTACTGCAGGGGGTGAGCCTGGTGCCCGTGGCCTAAACCTGCTGATCCGCAAGGACGGTCGAACGGTGAATTTAGGCGGGAAGACAGCGGTAACCGTGTACCCCGGGGTAAGGACTGCTATCTGTCCCGTCCCATCTCCATCCCCGGGCAGCTCTCATCCCGGAGAAGGGGAACAGAGTTGCACAATAACCAGAGACTCAGTTTAATTTGGCTCCTGAAGGAGAGGGGACAGCAAACCAGACTCAACAGCTCAGGCCAGTGTTGTGGATGCGCTGCTGTGGGGATGGTACTGCAGCAGGAGGCAGGTGGGGACCCTGCCTATGCTGAACCTGCCCCTCTGCTCCACAGGACGTGTTCTGCCTCCACACACCAGGTGGCGGGGGCTACGGGGACCCCGAGGACCCTGCCTCGCCTCCCGTGTCGCCCCCGCAGCCCCCACCCTTCTCCGAGCGAGGCAGCGTCTACGAGTACCGCAGGGCCCAGGAGGCTGTGTGAGGGAGCCCGCGCACAATAAAGATCCATTCAGTCGTCCCGCTCCGGCTGCTACCCGCCAGGCTCACGCTGTGCCTCCTTGCCCCTCCGTCTTTCAACCCTGCCTCGCCGCTGTCGCCTCACGAAGGCATCGAAATTCGGAGCCGAAGTCCCACGGCCAGGTGGTCTGTGAGCCCCGCCAGGGCGGTGCTGAATGTCACCTGTTCTACTTCCTGGGGGGCGGCAGTCAGGTTAAGGGGGTGGTCCCAGCACCAGCCGGCCCAGCACCCTGAGCTCTGGCACTTACTGGACTCAGCAGGCCTCCCGGCGCTCCCCGGTAGGTGATGTAATCCAGGCGCCGGCCGCGCCAGGGCTCAGCCCGGGGGCTTCCGTGGCAAGGGCCTGCCAGGTAGTGGTGGCGCCCTTCCTCTTTCTCCAGGGCCCTGAGGAGGGATGGTGTCATCAAGGCCAGAGCACCCCTCAGTTCTGGGCGGTGCCTGGCCCCCATCTGGCCGCTCACCTCCGAAGCATCTCCGGCGAGCAGGCTACCGAGTGGTGGAGCCTGGAAGTGTTCAATATCGTTCCTGGGAGAGAGCGGGAGTGGACTCTGTGAGCGGGAGTGCTGGCAGTCGGGCCCTCCCTAGGGCCGCCCCCAGCCTGGGCGCAGTACCCAGGGCCCACGGCTGCTCCTGGCGCGTGCCCAGCCGGCAGGGGTCCTGGAAGTGGTTGAAAAGCTGGTGCTCCTGCTCCAGTGCGTGGTCTGCAGAGAAAGATAGCATTAGGTGGGCGGGGCCAGGCCGCCGCTCACCCCGCCCCGCCCCACTACAGCCTTGCCTCACTTAGCGAGCAGTTGTCAAAGTTCAGGTCACCCAGGAGCACGCTAAAGGCCCTGACTTCATCAGCGTGGTCGCTCTCAGCCTCAAACTGCTTGGCCCAGTCCAGCAGCATCGTCAGCTGTTTGCAGCGCAGGGGCCCGTCCTCTGAAGGAGTGGGGGTGGTGGTGGAAGGAGGTTCAGCCCAGGGTGTCATATCTGGTCCGGGGCACAGCAGAACCTGCCCACCCCCGCCATTCCCAGTCATCTGTGGGCCCACCCAGGCACTCAGGAACTCGTGGGTCCAGGGCAGGGAAAGAACGGTGGGGGAGGGGGATCCACCCCCACACAGAGGCAGATCAGTCTGCACACGTGCTCACGCCTGTAGGGCTCACCAATTGGCGCTTGCAAATGCGTGCAGTGCAGGAAGCCCACGACGCGGCGCCCGTCCAGGATGCCCACTTGTGCCTGCAACACCACGGACGACCCCAACAACCCTCGCCCGTTCCTCACCACACCCCACCTCCTCCCAGGCAGGGGAGCGCCACTGCCTGTGGGCGGTTACCTGTGCAGAAAGAAGTCCCTTAGAGGCCAGCGCGTCCTCGCGACGAGCGTCAGGGAAGGACCGGAAGGCGGCGCGCAGCAGCGGGTAGCGGGATGCCAGCAGCAGTCCACTGCCCAGCAGTTTGAGGTGCGGCCCGGGTTGCAGGCCGAACGTACCCACGTCGTATAACACTGGGCCCAGATTGGGCGCGAGGCGGCTTACCAGGCGGCGCGCCGCACGCAGATCGAACACCTCCTGCAGGCACACGAAGTCCAGACCCGCCGGCACCGTGGCTATCAGCACCCCGCCGGGCGCCCCAGTCGCTGGTGGACTGCAGCCCATAGTCCCATAGCGCAAGGGCCGCAGGCCAGCGAGTAGCACCGCGCCCACAGCTTCGGCTCGCCGCTGGGTGTGCCGCAAGTTGCTGAAGCGTGCTAGCCCGTCGGGGAGCAGGCATACGTTGGCGCTGAGAAAGCTGAAGCAGCGCACGGGCTCAGCTGGGGGACGCCAGGGTGCAGGAGGCGCCCAGCACTGCGGAGGGGGCTGGTAGCAGAAGGGACGGCGCCAGGCCTGTAGAGGCAGCCAGAGCAGCAGGCCCGGTAGGGCCAAAGGCAGACCGATGAGCACTAGCAGCAGGAGCGCTGCTCCGGCTCCCGCGGCTGCTCTCAGCCACTTTAGGCAGCTGGGGCGCGCAATCGGCGCCCAACAGCCCAGCAGCTGGTCCAGGGCCCAGTAGGCCAGGAAAAGCAGCGCGCGGGCCAGACCGTGGAGGGCATGCAGCAGAGAGTTGGGGAAGGGCGAGGGCCTGAAGGCGCCAGGCACCGGGGGCCAGTCTGGCGGACATTGCATGGTGCGCGGGGTTCTTCCGCCGCGGGGCACCCCCGCAACTCATTCGCTTCCACCGTTGAAGTTGACTCGTGGGTGCGTCCGCCGGAGCTGGTGGGGAGCCGCAGGGGTTAAGGCCCCGTGGCGCAATCTGTGCGCTGTCGCAGGAAGGTACCCATGAGCCTGGGGGCGCGAGCGCAGGGGGTGATGTGTCCGGGGAAACCGTCCTCTCACCCTCGCGAAATCTCGTCGGCAGTTGAAGAGAACAAAAGGGAAAGCGGAAGAGACACTGGCCTCGCAGTCCCGCCCTAGATCCTCCTTGCCCCGCCCTCGCTTGATGGCCGCAGGGAGAACCCCTAGACCCTCCTGACTGGAGGGTCAGCCCGCACAAAGCGGAGGGCGACCCTTTTCAGCGCGGGCGGGCGCAAAGCTAGCGAGGGACGTTCGGTGAGTGCTCCCTCCCGCCTCCTGCACGTCCGCGTGGAATTGCCCTGGCGCCCCTGTGGCCAGACTTCGGGGTACACCCCACCCCTGCTGTCTCCCCAGAAGCGCGATGTCCAGCCCTTGAGTCAAAGGACATGTCCTCAGATGAGAAACGGCCTCCCTACAATAGTGACAGCTCTGTGTCCCTACCCTAAGGAGCTTCCAATCTGGAGGGAAGGGACCATTGGCTCCACCCTCGCGGCCACTCCCCTCGAGGCACCCGAGCAAGGGGGAAGCCAGCTTCGTTTCTTCTGGGCCCACTGGCACTGACTGGGGTGGTTGCCAGGATAGCTGCCTCCGGCTCCGCCCCCCACCCCCGTGTGACCCGCCCCCACTTTTCTAACTGGAGCTTTGAACCAGTCCCTAAAGTTCCCACCGAGGGCTCTTATATTGCCTTTCACAGGGACTGTCAGGAAGGTGGTGGGCTTATGCCCCACAATGTCCCAATTTTCCAAGGAATTTCGATCCCCTTTAGAAGTTAAGATCTGGGGCTGGGCATGTTCATGGCTGCTTGGCTATACCCACACAGGTCTCTAACCCTCTCCCCTTTCCCAGGGGTCTGGCTGGGTCCCCTGAAGTAGCAGGCCTAGGAGTGGGGAGGGCAGAGTAGTAGCCCCCGCCCCCAAACCCTCTTCTTTCCTGTACGCCTTCCTGGTCGCTGACGCGATTCCTGTTTAAACCCAGATGCTGGGTCTTCCCCCTCACATCACAGCTACATGCTCCTGCTGGTCCTCAGGCCTCACAGGGCTTTCCCACACTGTCCTCCTGTCCTCACGCATGGCCTCACAGGAAGGAGAGGCCCTGTCCTGAAGGGGCCTACACCCTTTAGCTCCTGTACCATCCACAAGCCCATCCCCCTCAGAATGTACAGGTTACCTCCTGGTGGCTCCTACCTGCCTCCCTCCACTTCTCGCCCGCTTTGTTCTGCTTTCCTATCCTGCCTGTGCTGCTAGGCTCCACCCCTGCAGCAAGCAGGGTCTGGTCTTTGCACCCTGGGGAGTCACCCTCCGTCTTACTTCTTGCTCTTTCCCTTTAAGCCTTGAGGGCTCCCGCTTCTCCCACTGCCAGGCAAAGGAGTCTTGGGGGCCTTTGGAACACCCCCTTGGCCAGACAGCTGCCCCAGGACGGGGCACAGGAGAGAGGGCACTGGGGGCCACCGAAGGAGGCAGCACAGCCAGGAGTGCAGGCAGGCCCAGTGGCCAGCATATGTGGGAAGCTTTAATGTCCGTGCTCTGGGGAGTGGGGCAGAGCGAGGCGAGTCTGGCAGAGCGGGCGTAAGTCACCAGATGAACATGGGCTTGCCATCGTCGTGCGCCAACTGGTTAAGGCAGGAGAGCAGCAGCAGCGCGTCGCTGAGCATGCTGGGGTGCACAGTCTCCACCAGCACGCGCTGCAGGAAGTCAACGGTGAAGGAGCCGCCCTCAGACACAGCCAGCTCAGGCCGCTCGCGCAGGATGCCGAAGTCATTCACCAGCTGCTCGGTCAGTGCTGGGTGCACCCGCCCGTTGTAGCCCAGACTCTGCAGCCGGTTCATAATGCTCACGTAGCGCTGTGTGAGCGTCTGGCACAGCTCCTCATCCAGCTTGTGGTTATTGGGGTTCAGAGAGGCCTGGGGGAAGAGGGAGGGGACACAGGCAGGTGATGGACAGAGGATCAGAGGATCTGGAAGCCTCATCACCTGTTCCACAACCACCAGGGATTAGGGACTGAGGTGACGCCACAGGAACTGAAGATAGAGAGCGTGGCTGGGAGCCTGAGGGTGAAGGGATAATGAGGTTACCACCTGGGGACACCGGAGACACCCCCTGGGGGCTTTCCCAGGCCTCCTCCTGGCTCCCTGCCAGGCTTCCTCTCAGCCTCCCACCAGACCCTCCTCTGTGCCTGGGGCTGCACCCTCTGCACTCTGCGCACACCCTGCCAGAGTCCCTTCCCACCCCTCGAGCTGACTTGACCACCCCAGACCAGAGCCGGCTGGGCCCTGCTCTCAGCACTGGGGGTCGTGCTATTCCTCAGGTGCCTGCTCCCAGTGCCTGGATCTGGGGACTAACAGTAGCTGGGTTGTCCCCACATGCTTCTTCATCACCCGTGCCACACTAGCCGGCAGTGACCCAACTTCGAGCCCCTTCTCTCCACCCCTCCTGCTGTGACGTACTTACTAGACATGTGGCCTGGGCGGTCACACAGGGCACCAGGCTCCGAAGGGCCCTGCATTCAGAACTGTGGGTCTGAAGTGTTAGTCAGTTGGGGTGTCTCCCTGCCCACACTCTCCTGTGGTTCCACCGCTCCAGCTCTCAGGCCCAGGGCAGACCTGCAAGGTTCTGCTCTGGTCCTGCTTGCTACCTCCCAGCCATTCGCTAGATGCCTGCCAAGCTGGTTCCTAACCTAATGTGAATACCCAGACAAGGTGCTTAGGCACCACCTCCTCCAGGAAGACCACCCTGTCCTCCCTTCCCCAGAGGGTCATGGCGTGAGCAGAGTGCTGGGCTCGTGGCTGGGTGCAGCTGAAGCGGGATGCACCTCTGGCAGGTGCATCCAGAGCTCCATGCTCAGCCTCTCACTTCCAGGTTGGTGCCAGGACGGGCCCGTCTCCCTGACTCTGGCCTTCTCTTGGCCCCCGAGTCTTCTCCCCCCATTTGCCTGTTCCCGAGCCGCAGTGGGAACAAGTGCAGGAGCTCAGCCAACACTGGAGGGTAAGCAAGTGAATGTCATACCAGGATGGCACAGAGCACTGAGGGTGGACAGCTTGAAGCCCTGGCCCGTGCAGGGACAAGACCCATGGCACGCCCTGTCGAGGGCTGTGCCAGGCCTGGTGCACAGATCTTGAGACCTGATGAGACGTTCAGCGGGGAGCGGACTCTGCCCACCTTGTCAGGGTGCTGGCCCCAGGACAGCAGTGTGGGCTGAGAGACAAGGCCAGAGCTGCCCAACGAAGTGATATCTTGCGAGTGGAGTGGAGAGTCGGCGGGGAAGAGTAGGACAAGCACTCTGGGTGGGGTTCATGGGCAGGGCCCCACCCAAGCACTGAGAAACAGGCAGAGCAGAGGAGAGGAGGTGAAAGGCCCTGTTCTGAGGGGTGGGAACTCGCGGCGGGTTTTGTGGTTTTAATCCACCAAGCTGACCACTGTAGGGGGAATGGGCAGAATCCGGCCAAGGAGGGCCAGGGCTGTGCCCGGCGCTCGTGCAGATAGTCTCCAAGGCAGGCGGGAGACAGATGTGGCGGACACACAGGCTGCGCCCTGGGCTCCCTACCAGCTGCGGTACAACAGAACGCTCTCCCTCTGCCCCAGACTCTGTGTCACCACCCACTCTGGCTGGTGTTCCTATTGTACCAGTTGTTAAATATTTTGAATATCTCCCTGTCCTAAAAGCATTATTTAAAAACAAAAGCGACGTAAAACAAAAGGATTTCAGTACTCAACCCCAGGAAGAAAAAGCAAATCTGAAGGCAGCAGAAGGGGAAGTAAGTAACAGCAGAAGTGAGGAAACAGAATCCAAAGGATCACTAGAAGTCATCCAGACAACACCGGGCAAAGCGGACACAGTCCGCGGAAGAGGACAGGCACCCTCGCTTTCCCTTATGTAAAGAAACTCCCTGCCGCGACTGCGAGGCCACGGTTCAGCTGCAAGCTGTGACGTCACCAAACTCGAGCCAATGGAATGTGACTAGGACTTTGAGCTCCACCCCCTCGATCCAGCCCCGCCCCCTGGGCCAAGTTCCCATCCCATTTTCTGACAAGGGCGGAGGGGTTGGTGTCTGGGCCCAGCCACCCTGTGGAGAGACAAACACCTGACTTACTGAGTCTCGTACATTTATGTCACTGCAGCTTGGCAGAGGTCTCTAAGAAACAGCGAAGCCAGAAGTCATAAATAACAGCAAACAGAATCCCAATGCAATAAAAACCACCAGGGGTGGATGTGGTTTGTGATCAGAGCATCTTCCCCTAGCGTCTCCGTCTGTTACGAGAATCAGGCGAAGGGAGAAGTCATGTGATCATCTCATCAGAGACAGAAAAACATTCTAAAAAATTCAGTATTTGCTCAAGATTAAGAAAAAAACAAAAATTCTCAACAAATCAGGAAGAGGGGAAATTTCTTAATCTAGCGTGGCAGATACTGAGCCTCGCTCGGCCGGCTCCTGTTCTGAGCCTTCCTAAACTCCAAGAGGCTGGAGGCTGCCCCCCCCCCTTTTCAGACTCTCCTGTGACCTGGTTTCTGCCATGGCGTTTCTGCCACTAGGAAAGTCCCTGGTGTGCTGGCATTTTTACTGGCTGTAGAGCAAAACGGCCCAATTTTCTATCCTTTCTGGAGCCTCTGGCCATGCTAACACAATAAACCCTTTTCTGCTTACATCGATCGACTCAAGTGGATTCTGTTTTCTGCGGCTGAGAACAGATTAATCCAGCAAAAATCTGGGAGCACACACCATTCTCAATAGGAAGACTAGGAGTGTATGTATGTCCCTAGTCCAGTCAGAAACAGGACACGGTGGCTGTGTCATACGCTTCTCTTAAACACTGCCCAATGTGACTGTCTGCAGAGAAAAGCCAAGAGGATGGTACAGCAGCTATGGAGACCAGTAAGAGGGTTTGGCAAGGCAGCCGGAAAACAAATCACTGCACAAAAATCAAAAACATTCTCAGCAAGCCAGGAAGTGGGACTGGGGAGAACTCCAGGGGACACTGTGGACCTCGCTGGACAAAGACACAGGTACAACCTTCAGTCAGTCTCACTGGCGCAGCTGGACTTGGGGCCTCCGAGGGTTCTCGGTCGAAAAGAAGGAGTCAGAGTGTCCCCATAGAGCAGATCTTTGCAAGTGGGTAGAAGAACTGACTGGCATGAGCACTGGGCCAACTCTCAGTTGGGCTTAAAAGGTGGCGTAGTTGTCTGCAAACTTATACTAAATGACAGCTCGGTTCAGCGATCAAAGTCAGAGAGTCCTGCGAGAGTCCTGAGTGAGGGTGTGGGGGGGGTAAGTAGTGATGGAAGGAGACTTGGGGTGGTGAACCCACAATATCGTATACGGATGATGTGTTATAGAATTGTACACCTGAAACCTACATAACTTTATTAACCAATGTCACCCCAAGAAATTCAATTAAAAAAGAAAAATAAGTAAAGTAAAAAAAAAAGTCAGTGTGTCCTCATTGAAAACAGGACTCCACTAAAGCCTACAGCACTCACGAAGCTGACAGCCTGACCTGGGCAGGGCCAGGGCCGGGGCCCGCGAGTCTGAACGCAGCTGGAGAATCCAGTGGTCACAAGCACTGGGGGTCGGTGTGCAGAGAAGCAAGCGCGACGCTCTGCTGCGCGGAAACAAAAGGCTGGGCAGAGTGGAATCGGAGGCAGATAGGAACCAACAAATGGCCTGGCCAAGCAAGCAGGGTGGCCTTGAGACCAGAGGCATGTTTGTGATCCTCCGATGTCACCCCAATGGAGGGGTGACCAGCCGGGGGGTTGTCCACACAGCTCCCCAAGGCAGCTTCTGTGAACATGGGCTCCAGTGGAGCTGCCTCTTAGGAGCTCAGGCACAAGCACTTGATTCTGGCAGTGCCTGTCATTGCTGATAGAAGGTGAGTGAGGCCAGCGGCTCTGGGACTGGTGATGGTAGTCGGTGAGTGGATGACCAGATGAGAGTGGTGGCAAATGCCACAGGCTCCCCAGGGGTTGCCAACGTGGTGGTGGAGGCACTGGCTCAGAGGGCGCTGAGCTCCTTGACATCCTCAAACTCCAAGAGAGAAAACATTGCCTTACACACATACATTCTGCTCTCCTCCTCCTGCTCTTGTCCAGAGAGTTGCCACTTAGTGCCTCGCCTTACATTCTACAGCACAGGCCATGACTCACAGAGGGGCCCAGGAACCCAGGGTTTGCACAGCCACGCCCCCCACCGAAGGGCCCTGCGCTTTTATCTTCCTCCATTTAATCGGACATTTTCAAACAATAGGAAATCTCTTTATGCAGCACTGTTAGTTCCTACTATGTGGACAACTAGACTGTGCTTATAGATAGATGTGTCCTTGCGACTAGGTGTCACATGCAGCGTTTGAGAGACATAAATACTGTGCTTCCACCACATCGTTTGCCAATATGTAAACAGCCATGGCTCTCATGACCCAGAAGTGGCTTCAGGGGTCCTGGACAAGACTCAAGTGTGGTCACACTAAACATGACCCAGGTGGCCCAGTGACATGAGCAGCAGAAATGACAAGTGTGTAGAAATAACCTTGATGATAAAGATGTGCAACTTCCCCCTTTTATCCATAAAGCAACGCAAAATTAGTTCCTGGAACTTGAAGGACTAACCCTAAATTTCATATTGAATAAATGAGGGCCAAGAGGAGCCGAGACGCTGTGGGAGAAGAGAGGTGCCTAGGTTCTGTCGCCCTTCTGGGAGGAGGACAGCAGAGGCCAGGGATGCCCCCAACCTGTGCAGGGGACAGGGGGAAGGGACTGACAGCCCACCTTGGCCCCCATTGGCCCCCATCCTCCAGACTTAAGCAAGACATAGAAAGTACAAGAAATAAAGGAAGAGGGGGGTAATCCTGACCACATTAAAACCCAAGACCAAAGGCACCTTCACAAAAGGCACCTTCGCCAGCTCAAGCCTGGGCATGGATGAACCCACCATAACTAACATCATTCCTGCCCAGGTCAACCGTGTGCAGATGGCCCAGAGGAGGTGGCCGGGAGCACAGAGGGCTCTTTTTCAAGGGAAGGACCCCCTCCAGTCTGGGGAGGGACCCTGGAGGCCACTGCAGTGGCGGAGGGGGAGAGTTCACACCTGACCATGCCCAGACCCTCCCCTGCCCTGGCTGGGACCACAGGTTCTTGCAGTTAGATGACCTGGACACTGCTGGCCACTCGAACTGAGCACAGAGCTTCCTCCACCCCCAGGGGCTCTTGGATTCCACCTTGCTCATCTGGTTGGCTCGCAGGGCCCCCCAGCAGCTGCGCAAGGGCCAGCATGCCTCCCATTCCTGCCAGGTGCCCCGGCAGGCCCTCTGGTTCTGAGTGAGAGGCAGGCACCACACACCTGGATGATCTTCTCAGGAATGTTTGAGACAGTGAAGCCGTAGAGGCGCACTCGCTCGGGAAAGATGCTGGAGAGGATCCTACGGTCCAGCTGGAAGGCGACCTCCCCCACCAATCTCTCCCAGGCCGGCTGCTTTGACTCTGGAGACAGCAAGAGGTGGAGGGAGTAAGGAGACAGCAGCTGTGGTCAGCAGCCTGGGCAGGTGCCCTGGGGGTCTCTGAGGGCAGCAGGGTACCCCCTGGACCAGAGTGAACCCCATGATAGCACTGACCTCGGGGGCTGTCAGGGTACTTGCTGGTCTTGCGGTGGGCCAGCTTCCGCTCCAAGTCCAGGGCACTTTTCCGAGACGTTTTGGGGACACGTAGGCCCCAGGTATTGTTGACAGAAGCCGGGGAGGATGAAGTTCGAGGTGGGGAGTGCGGGTTTCGTGGTGGGGAGTGGGGGGTAGGGGAGGGCCGGGAAGGGGAGTGGGTGATCCTTTCAGGGCTGTAGTTGGTGGCAGCTTGGGGGACAGGAGCAGGGGCAGAAGGGGAAGCCGTTGGGGCAGTGGGGACAGGGACAGGAGCTGCTTGTCCCTGGGAAGTATCTGGCTGGGTTCGGGCACCTGAGGTGCTGTAGGAGAAGGCTGCTGGTGAACCCGGCTTGCCCACGGTGCTGACGGGGGTGGAGGTCTGGATGGGCTCCCCCACGAACGTCACATTGAGGGGCTCAGGGTCCCGGGTCAGGAGGGGATTCTCGGTGGAGAGTGGGTCTGGTGACAAGGTGAGGCAGAGAGGAGGGAGGAGGGTAAGGGCGAGGCAGGACCAGGGGCTGGCCTGGCAGGGGCCCCTCCCTCTGCACCAGTTACCTTTGGAGGTGGCAGCAGGCCCTGCACCAGCGGAAGGATGGGGTCCGGAGGGGTGTCCGTAGAGTGGCTCTGGCAGCCGCACCCTTGGGCCCTCAGACAGCACCCCATTACCCATGGGGTTGGCCAGAAGGTTCTGAGAAACAGCTGGGGGGGCAGCTGTGGAGGTGAGCGGGGGGATGCTCAGAGACAGGGGTGGGGGGCCTGCCAAGGGGTTGCTTGGAGTCAGGGGGCCGGTAGAAACAAGACCCATGGAGCTGGTCAGTGTGCCTGCTGGGGACGCTGGCATGGAGCCAGTCAGCTTGCTGCTTGGAGTCAGGGGGCCGGTAGAAACGAGACCCATGGAGCTGGTCACTGTGCCTGCTGGGGACGCTGGCATGGAGCCAGTCAGCTGGCTGCTTGGAGTCAGGGGGCCGGTAGAAACGAGACCCATGGAGCTGGTCAGTGTGCCTGCTGGGGACGCTGGCATGGAGCCAGTCAGCTTGCTGCTTGGAGTCAGGGGGCCGGTAGAAACGAGACCCATGGAGCTGGTCAGTGTGCCTGCTGGGGACGCTGGCATGGAGCCAGTCAGCTGGCTGCTTGGAGTCAGGGGGCCGGTAGAAACGAGACCCATGGAGCTGGTCAGTGTGCCTGCTGGGGACGCTGGCATGGAGCCGGTCAGCTGGCTGCTTGGAGTCAGGGGTCCAGTTGAGGGCAGGCCCAGAGAGCTGACTAGTGTGCCCACTGCGGGCATTGCCATGGGGCTGGCTAGGTGGCTGTTCATGGGGCCAGTCAGGAGGCTGGCAAGTGCACTGTTCTGTGTTATGGGTCCTGGGGAGGTCAGCATTGTGTTGAAAGGGCCTGTTGAGGGGCTGGGCGTGTCCACCAGGGGCGCCAGAGCCATAAACTCCACTTCTTCCAGGATGGATGCGGATTCATTTGCTGCAGCCAGAGGTGGGGTCCGGAAGACACCTGGGGGACACAGAGAAAGCACTGAGACGACAACGGGTCCCTGGGGGAGAGGGCTCTGTCCCCACTGTGGCAGGGCCTGGACCAAGGTGCCCATCCGCCTCTGAGGAGCTGACCAACCTCTCTGAGGCCTCACTTCTCAGGTGGGATCCCAGACCAGGGGCTGGCCCCTCTGGGGGAGCCTCGCCCCTCCCAGGCTCAGTTCTCTAGACACCTGCCCCCCAGCCGCAGGACCTCCCACAGCAGCCCAGCCCTCAACTGTGCTCCCTGCAAGGCTGTGGACCCTCACTGAAGAGAGGAGAGTCTCCTGGTGCCTGGACTCCTAGGTGGTCTGCAGGGGACAGTGGGCCCCAACTTCTGGCCTTGCAGGTGGGGGACCCTCAGGAAAGCCAGAGCTAGAACAGGTGTGAAGCTTCACATGGTGCCAAAGGTGTGCCTGGCTCCTGTGTGAGGCCACTGCCTACGCATGAACAGTGAGTGCAGGGCAGGTACAGGAGCTAAAACTACACAACTATAGAAAGATACAGAGGAAGACATGGCAGTAAATCCCCATGACTTTGGGTTAGGCAATGGATTCTTAGATATGACACCAAAGCATGAGCAACAATAGGTAAATTGTATTTAATCAAAATTAAAGGCTTCTCTCTTCTAAAGGACATTATCAAGAAAGCGAAGAGACAACCCACAGAATGGGAGAAAATATTTGCAAGCCATACATTTGATAAAGGACTTGTATCCAGAAAATATAAAAAACTCTAACAGCTCAATAATAAAAAGACAAATAGCCCAATTAAAAAAATGAGCAAAGGACTTCCACCAAGATGTAAGCATAGGTGGAGACACCTTGCTTTCTCACACAACCAAGTTTAGAGACGACTAAATATTATCAACAGAAAACACAGCCAGAACACAGAAAATTGAACTTTTCGGAAGTCTGATAACAACAAATTCTTCAGCCTGACCGGTAAGAGGGGTGAAACCAACAGCTGGTGGAGCGGGGTTGCACAGGAAAACTCGGTCAGACAGACTCAGGCGCGCGGAATCCAGGCACAGGGTTGGACCTAGTGAGCGACACAGCGAGCGACCTCGGGGAAACAGTGAGGGACCAGGGCTGCAGGTTGACTGTGGTCGCGAATTCGTGCGGGGATAGACAAGCGAGGGAGTGGGCGATTAGATGGGACCCAGCAGGCCTCCAGCGGCAGCAGAGGGCGCCACCATTTCCCTGCTCTGACCCCACCTCCACATACAGCGTCACAACCCAGCGACCTGGGAGTCCAAGGCTCCGCTCCTCACACTTAGCGTGCGGGAACAGACCAAAAATGGCTCAAGAAGATCTCAAAGCCCCAGAGCCTATAAATCTAAGCGATGAAGAAATAGCAAAACTCTCAGAGGCACAGTTTAAAACACTGGTGATCAGGATCCTCAAAGAACTGGTTGATTATAGCCACAAATTAGAGAAACATATGAAGGCAAAACTAATTGAAATGAATGGAATTGCACAGGAAACCAATAGCGATGAAAAGGAAACTGGGACTCAAATCAATGGAGTGGACCAGAAGAAAGCAAATAATGGCCAAACAGAAAAGAGTCAAGAAGCAAGAATTCAAAAAAATGAGGAGAGTCTTAGGAACCTCCAGGACATCTTTAAACACTCCAACATCCAAATTATAGGGGTACCAGAAGGGGGAAAGGCACAGCCACCAGTGGAAAACTTATTTGAACAAATAATAAAGGAGAATTTCCCCAATCTGGCAAAGGGAAATAGACTTCCAGGAAATCCAGGAAGCTCAGAGAGTCCCAAAGAAGTTGGACCCAAGAAGGAACACACCAAGGCACATCATAATTACATTAGCCAAGATTAAAATGAAGGAGAGAATCCTAGAAGCAGCAAGAGCTAAGGGGACAGTCACCTACAAAGGAGTCCCCATCAGACTGTCAGCTGATTTCTCAAAAGAGGCCTTACCGGCAAGAAGGGTCTGAAAAGAGGTATTCCAAGTCATGAAATCCAAAGACCTACATCCAAGATTACTCTATCCAGCAAAGCTTTCATTTAGAATAGAAGGACAGATAAAGTGCTTCTCAGATAAGATCAAATTCAAGGAGTTCATCATCACCAAGCCCTTATATGAAATGTTAAAGGGACTTACCTAAGAAAAAGAAGTTAAAAAAACATGAACAGTGAAAGGACAGCAAACTCACAGTTATTAACAACCACACCTAAAACAAAAGCAAGCTAAAAGGACATCTAGATCAGGAGTGGAAACATAGAAAGGAAGATCCCAAGGAGGGTTAGCAACAGGGGAGTGGGAGAAGGAGAAGGGGGGAGAAGGTACAGAAAATAAGTAGCATAGATGGTAGGTAGAAAATAGAGGGAGGGCAAGAATAGTATGGGAAATATAGAATCTAAAGGACTTGAGACACGTGGTCATAAACTAAAGGGGGGTAATGGTGGGGACGGGGTGTGCAGGGTGGAGGGGAATGAAGGGGGAATAGAACAACTGTAATGGCATAATCAAATATGGAGAAGGTGCTGTGACTGACTGATCGAACATGTCAAAAGTGGTTTTCGAAGTTTCATACTGAAGAGTTCTTACTGGACGATGCTCCCCAGTCGGGTGGACCATTTGAAGTTGATAGTGATCAAATGGAGACATTAATTAAGAATGATCAACATTATACCACATGGGAGATAGTTGACATACTCAAAATACCCAAATCAATAAAGTTATTGGTGAAAGTGAAAAAAAATAAAATAAAAAAAATCAGCAAAGGATCTGAACAGATATTCCTCGAAGACCATATACAAATGGGCAATGAGCACATAAAAGGGTGCTCAGCATCATTAGTCATTAGAGAACTGCAGGTTAAAACAACAATGAGATTAGTTCACACCCCCTACAATGTTTATAATCAAAAAGTCAGATAAGGAGCCCTGGCTGGTGTAGCTCAGTGGATTGAGTGCGGGCCTGTGAACCAAATGATCTCGGTTCTATTCCCAGTCAGGGCACATGCCTGGGTTGCAGGCCAGTTTCCAGCAGGGGACACACGAGAAGCAACCATACATTGATATTTCTCTCTTTCTCCTTCCTTTCCCTTCTAAAGATAAATAAATAAAATTGAAAAAAAAAGTCAGATAAGTGTTGGCCAGAATGCAGAGAAATTGGAACACTCATACATCGCTGATGGGAATGTAAACTAGGGCAGCCACTTTGAAAAAACAATTTGGCAGTTTCTCAAACAGTTAAACACAGTTGTGCCATGTGACCCAGCAATTCCACTCCTCAATATCAACCCAAGAGAAATGAAAACATATTTACACAAAAAATTGCACATGAATGTTTATGGCAGTGTTATTCATAATAGCCAGAAGGAGGGAACAAAAGAAGAATAGACAAACAAATGGACACAGTGCTGTGTCCATTAGCAGCATAATCTTCATCCATAAAAAACCCTGATGCCACCCCGAAGTATTGATTCATGCTATGACACAGATCAACCTTGAAAACATTGTGCTAAATGAAAGAAGCCAGGCACAGAACCACATATGTATTATTTCATTTTCATAGAATGTCCAGGATAGGCAAATGCACAAAAACAAAGTAAATTAGTGATTTGAGGTTGATTAAAGTGTTCTAAAATCATTGTAAGGTTTGTATATATCTGTGAATGTATGAAAAACCATAAAATTGTATACTTTAAATAGGTGAAGTGTGTGATATGTGAATTATATCAGTAAAATTGTTAAATGAAAAAGGATTCATTGGGATCACAGGTATTTAGGGTTACAGGAAGGACATATTCGTGGTCCAGGGGCCAATTAAGTGCATGCTTGGGTGGCACTGTAGGCTGTGTCCAATGGTCAGGGTCAAGACCGTGCTGGCCTCAGTCACAGTGTCCGTAGGGTTTGCAACCCACCCAAGTCGCTGATGAGAGTCTCGGTGACAGCCATGCTGCAATCTCTGGCTGGGAGACAGGGACACGAGTTTGGGGAGCACAGAACCCCAGGTGTGAGGAGTGTTCTGCACTAACAGGTGCCAGGAGCTGAACCTGTTTAGGAGATTCCAATCTCACAGCGTTGTACTCCAGTGCTTAATGTATCAGTGACTGTTTTAACCTTTTTGTAATCTATATTTAATTGATATAGATTTGTGACTTGAAATCTTCCTGGGTTTTAGTACAGTATCAGAAAGTTAAAGGTAACTGTAGGAATTATTTAGGGTCCAAGGTTTGTTACCTCTGACAACTGAAGTGAAAAAGGAAAGCAAATGCTGTAGTTTGCAAAAGTAGTTTACAGTGTTTTCAACTGTTTTCACTGAACTGATTCACTCCCCCACGTGCTCCTAGCTGGGGAAGCTCGTCCTTCCCTGGAGGCCCAGGCTGGGGCCTGGGAGCGACCCCTCGCGTCCCCAACCCTCGTCGCGCAGGTCGGAACCGCGCTTTCACACTGTCCTGACCTCGCCCACCTCCCTCGGCCCGGGTCTGCAGCCGCCTCCGCTGGGTCCCTCCAGGGTCTGCCCACCTCCCGCGGCCTCACCGGCCTCGGATCCCTCGGTTCGCAGCGCGCACGTCAGTGCCGCGGGTAGTAGCGGAGACTTGGGTTCTACTCAGGTGGCTAGAAGCTGGATTGGGGAGCCGGGGGCGTGTCCCCAGGGCGGGCCATGACCTGGCAAGACTACAAGCTTGGGGTCCCCAGGAGTTCCAGGCAGGGACTCTGCTTGGGGACGGAGCTGGAGTTCTGGGGCGGGCTCTAATGGGCGGGGCCAGGGTCCTGGACCGGCCCCCGACAGGGCGGGGCAGAGCCCTGATGACGTACAGCACAGAATGGAGGCGGAGCTAAAGTGCGAGGACCGGTTTATAGGGGCGGGGCTGGAGTGTTGAGCTACGCCCAACGGGGCGGGGCCTTGATGCGGCGGGCGGACGCCCGCTTCGGACACTTCAGGACCGAGAGGGGAAGCTCAACGTATAGTGGTAGACGGGTGACCAAAGGCGGCAAAGGGGCAGCGGGAGCCGGGGAAAGAGAAAGAAGAAATGGGGGTGGGTCATGAGGGGAGATATGGGATCCTGAGGGGGCGGGTCCCGAGGGGGCGGGTCCTGAGGGGAGACGGCGTCCTGAGGGGGCGGGTCCTGAGGGGCGGGTCCTGAGGGGAGACCGAGGGACGGGTCGTGAGGGGAGACGGCGTCCTGAGGGGAGACGGCGTCCTGAGGGGAGACGGCGTCCTGAGGGGGCGGGTCCCGAGGGGGCGGGTCCCGAGGGGAGACGGCGTCCTGAGGGGGCGGGTCCTGAGGGACCGGTCCCAGGGACTGGGGAGCACTCCGCCGAGGGGAGAGCAGTGGGCGTGGGGGTTCCTGCGAGTTGGGTGCTGGTAACTCGGCGCGGCCAACTCCCTCCTGCGGCGTCTTCCCCGTGAGCTCGCCCTGCCGCGGCCTCCCGACCGCCCCACGCAGGCCACACGCTGAGCCCGAAGCCGCCCCGGCCTCTGTTTGCGTTGCAGCCGCCGCCGCTCCGCGCGCTGCGGGAGAGGCCGGGCGCGCCGCTCCACACGCCCCAGAGGCCGGCTCCCGCCTCGGCCGCCCGCCGGTTCCGCTCCGTTCGGACCGCCCCGCCGTCCTGTGCCCGCCTCGCTCGCCGAGAAGACGCCGGGACGGAGCAAGTCGCGGCCCCGGCCCGGCCCGGCCCGGCCCTCCCGGCCCGCAGCCCTGGACTCCGGACCCGGGACGCGTCCCCCGTCTCTCCCCTTAGCGGCTCCGCGCGCCCGGCCCGACCGTCCCCTGGGCTTGCGTCCCGCCCTGCTCCGCGTGGCGTCGCGTGCGCGGCCCGAAGTCAGCTCGCCCGGCGCACCCGGGGCGAGAGCCACGGAGCCTGCGCGCCGCGGCGGAGCGGACACGGCGCCGACTTCTGTTCTGTCCTCCCGCCTGAGAGCGGACCTCGGCAGCGGCCTGAAGGTCGGGCGGGGGTGTGGGGTTCCTGGGCTCCCCGCGTTCAGGGCCGCGGTGGGCGGCTTGGGGACAGCCGCCCGCCCTCCCCCACCGTCTCCTCCCCGCGGGGCCCTGAGGGGCCCAATTTCCCCCCGGGTCCCCCTGCGCGGGGACGTGGGGACGGCCGAGCCCCGGCTGCGGGGGCGGGGCCCCAGCGCAGGTCGAGGAAGAGCCTGGCCCCACGAGGAAGGCCAGTCGCGGGGAGGCAGGGTGGGGGGTGGCGGAGCAAGGTCCCGGGGCGACCAGGGGCCGCCGGCCGCGGGCAGACCCCCTGCACGCCTCCCTGGCGTCCCTCCCGCGCTAGCGGCTGCTTTCTCATTAAATAACAGTTTTTCTCGCTGCTGGTTCGGGCCACCCCTGTGCACCTGGCTGACTGCCCGCCTCACTCGCGCCCGTTTCCCCACGGCATCGGAATGGCCCTCTTCTAATTTTCTATTGACTAATTGCAGCGACATGGGTCACACATGTCTGTGCATGTCTGTGACGCGGCATCTGTACATTGCACTGTGTGCCCACCGACCAAAGTCAAACCCACTTCTGTCACCATATGTCGGGCCTTCTGGGCCCCCACCCTCGCCCTCCTGCTCCCCTGCGGTAACCCCCACTCGGCCTCCGTGAACGCGGGCTTTGGAACCATCTTCCGGAGGCGCAGACACCACTGCTCCCTGTCAGAAGCCCCCAGTGTCAGCTCGTTGCCTTTGGGAACAAGTCCGAGCCCCGTAGCCTGTCACTCGCAGGCCGCGGCAATGGCAGCCTCTGACCCTCTAGCTACGTTGCTCACCTCTCGCTGGCCCCAACCCCAGCACCCCCCCTGCCACAGACACACATCACACACGTGCACACAGAACGAGCACAGGCATTCCTACATGTCACAGACACACGCACATACGGTCACACAGCAACTCACACAACAGTCATGTACCACGCATGATGCCCTCGCATGTATACCACACATTTTCCCACACACCCACAACACACACACATCACACTATACACACTCATGGACCCCACACTCTTGCATGCCACATTCACAGGCTTACACACCCTTGCTAATGACCGAGACAACAGACAGGTGATGCACATCATGCAGACTCACACGCCCCCACTCCCTACCACACCCTCAGTGTCTCACATGCATACCGCACACTCAGTACACATACACACACACACACACACACACACAGCCTGGGCTTTAACCACACTGATCTACATCTTATTCCTGCACCCCAGGCCCAGGCCTTTCAGGAGCTGCTCCTCCTCCTCCCCGAATTCCCCTTGCCCCCTTCACTGCCAGCTGTCTGGGCTCCCCTCCTCCAGAAAGCCTTTCCCAGTCCCCTAAGCTTGACCCTTCAGGAGCTGGAAAGCCACATGTGGTCCAAGGATTTTCTATGAATCAAACCTAAGAGGAGAAGGCTTGCTTGATTAGCCTGGGTTAGGAAACCAGAATCTATTTTCTTAAACTGTGAGATTGCTTAAACGCTGCACATCCCTGTGTGCAATAGTTCTGTCACCCTGTCTATTGTTTCAGAGTCTTTAGCAGCAGAACCTTTCAAATAAGAGGGGCCTGTGTGCTTATCATCAGTAAGGGGGGACTGTTAGACTGGTCCCATGCCACAGCCAGGTTGGACAGCAGGGAACACAGTGGGTAGGGAGCAAGGGGGGCAACTTTCCAGAATAAAGGCTTTAAGCTAGAAGTGGGATGGTGGAGAAGAAGCACAAACTTCGGGGCTTTAGCATCTTAGTGGGAAGGACAAGCTCCTACAGAAGTTAAGTGGAGAGACCTAAGTTACGGGGACTTGCTGGGCCTGCAAAAGCCTCTAAGGGGATCTCCCCTTCAAGTGGAGGGTTGAAACCCACAGCAGGCAGGCTTGCTGGGGGTAGAGGACAGAGCCTGAGCGGACTGGAAGCAGCAGTGATTAAATTGAGCCAGGGGTGCTGGAGGTGCTCTTGGAACTCAGGAAGAGAAGGGCTTTTAGTCTCAAATGCCATACAGAGGTTCAGAAGGACATGGCACTTAGGAAGCCACTTATGATCTTTCTAGAACAGCAGTGTCAGGGTCCACTGCCAAGCTGTAGAGGCTTATGGGACCAAGACTGAAAAAACAGAATCCTCTCAGGGAAGGAGGTAGTTTCACACATGAATAAAGAGGTGGAGTGACAGGGAAGGAAGGACTTTGTGGGGAGGAGGAGGGGTGTGGACATGACAGCCACTGCATTTTGTTGCCTCCTAGCCTGATGTAATTGTTACCAACCCACTGTGATGGCCAGTGACTCCTGTTGTCACACTCTGGGATCGTGCCACCCCCCAAAAATCTCCCTCCTATCTCTTCAGTGTCAACCACTCTCTGCCCCCCAGTTTTCCATTCTTCAGGTGCCTGCCTTGTTCCTGTCTCAACACTCAGCTGTGCAGCCTCTTTGCACTCTGGGCCTCTGAGTACCTGCCTGGCTCAGTCCCTCAACTCCAAGTCTAACTCCGCAGTGTCACTTCAACTGCTTTTCTTCAAACACCTATAAATTCTTTGCCCATCTTGTCTCCCTATACTCTAAATCTCCAGCCCGAGGGTTCTGTCACACATTAATTCCCAAACCTCCAGCTTCCGTCCTAGTTTCTGCTCTTGGCTTCTAGATTTGTGTTGTCAATGGTCCACTGGCCGTCTCTGAGAGGACAGTGATGGGGAGAGGGACAGGGGCGCTAAGGGTGAGGGATGGAGGAGAAGGGTGGGAGGCTGAGGGTGAGAACACATCAGACTCGGTAGGCCGGTGCACTTGGATTCCAGAGCTGGGAAGCTCCCAGTCTATGGAGCTGCTGGGAAGTTCAGCTGAGAAGTATGGGCTGGGGCTCCTACCACCAAGTAAATGGGACTGATGCCTAGTTTTGCCCTTTCATTCCAGTGGTCTTGTGTCTTCATCCTCCCCTTACCTGGTGGGGCCACTGTCCTAAAAGTTTGTTACTATCTGTGCCCTTCTGCTCTTGACTCCTGAGACCCCAGCACACAGTCTGTCTATCCTCTTTGGTACAGCTTCACACTTCCCTTCCCACTCTCCTTGAATTCAGGCCTCTTATAGTTACCCTGGTGTTGAGAAGGGCCAGTTGTCTCACCATGCCCGCTGGTGAACCCGCTGATGCCCAGGCCACCCGCCTGTGTCTTGATTGCTGACTCGAGCTCGTGGTTCTCCCGAATGAGCCGCACCAGCCTCTTCAGTTCCTCATTTTCCCTCACCAGCCTCTCGATCTGATGCCGAAGCCCCTCATAACTGATGAGCAGAGACATGCCCCAGGGCAGCAGGAAGGGTGCCGCCCGCCGGAGGGCACTGCACCAGGAGGCTGCCCAAGGCCCCGGGCCTTGCCCGGGCTGGAGGAGGGCGCCAGAGTTTGCAAGTGGCAAGGCTGGCCCAGGGGGTATTGTGAGGTCAGAGGCTGTGCCCTCCTCCTTGCCCTCTCTGCTCTAATAGGCTCTGCTTTCTGAGCCTCCAGTCCTGTGGGCAGGCCCTGCCTTGGCTTGGAATTTACTGACTCCATCTCTGTCCGGACAACTCCACTCTGTGAAGTGGTCCTCTCTGTGAAGCTTCCTTTCACCCATGGCAAGCTAATCCCTGCCCTCCAGGCTTCACCCACAGATGTGTTTTCTGTCATAGCACTTACCTGGCTCTGTCTGGTCAGCTCTTTAAGGCTGTTTTACTCTCTGTACATTGATGGCAGGGACTGTGGAACTCCCCAGAATTCAGCAAAGGGTCTGGTGTACTGTAGAAAGGTAATCAGTGAATATCTGATTAATGAAAACTCATCCTCCTCCTTTCTAGACAGGGTGCCTTTCCTTCTGATCTTGGGCACACCCAGGTGTAGCCTGTCATCCTTCTTCTGGGAACATTCTATTCTGGACACCTGGACACTGGGCCATGCTTTCTTCTGACCCCAGGGTGCTCAGAGTCTTTCTTTGACTGCCAGCCCAGGAGCTCCCTTATCAAGCACCTGGCTCCCTATAATCTGGAGTTCCCCTCTTCCAAATCCCCTGGCAGTACCCCCTTTGTACCCATAGCTCTATCATTCCTTGATTTTTCCTGACTGTAGACCTTCAAGAATCTGACCACATTTCTTGTCAGGTTCCAAGAACTCAAATCTGAGTCCTGATTGTGATCCCTTTTAAAAGAGCTACCTACACAGAGAATTTTGTGGGCCAGACCTTGGGAGTCAAGTAAGGTTGTGTCTTCATGACCTTTGCTGGGTCTGTGGTCATCTGCTCCCAAAAAGAAGAGCATGGTGCAATCCAGGCATAAGCCAGAGGGCACACTCCTGGTAGGAGGGTGGGGGCGAGGACAGCGTTGAAGATCAGCCAGGGCTGGGGTCAGCCTGAGTTGAGCATTCTACTTGGACCTCACAATGGGGGGTCTTGCCCCCACCCACCTCTGAGACCCTAGACTGTAATCCTGGCTCAGTCACTCTGGCCCTGGGAACCAGTACCTAGATGTCCTGCCGGGGTCCGGCCTCGGCAGGTCTCAGGGTCCCTGAAGAATGGACGGCACAGGCGACACATGAAGAGTCAGACACCTGATTGGATGCTGGAGAACAGCCAGCCTCTGAGGGTCGGACGGAACTCCCTGAGTTTGATTTAAGCTGTATTTTTATGGGGATCATTACATATTAAAGAAAGGTGTATGATATGATTAGTTAAGGTGACCATTAAAGGTGTATGGCATGATCAGTTAAGCAGAAAAAATCAATACAAAGGTAATTAGGGAAATACAGGAAATTCCACAGACTCAGTCATGTTACACAAAGGTTATTTTGACCAGTCAGACAATTAGAAATAGCTGTATATACAGAGTTTTAAATGTCTTATTGGTGAATAGATGTTTATTAAAGTTCTTAGAATTTGGCATGGGTCAAAAGGATACTCTAGACTGGACAGCGGTTATAGGAAATTCATCCACAAGGCCTTTGTGGTGTCTAACTTAGCTATCTATCTGTCTGTCTAGACAGAGTCTATGTACTATGGACTCTGACTCCTTGGTAATTGTTTCTTCGTGCTTAGTTTGTTCTAGCTAACCAGCTTCTCCTCTTTCTTTGTCTGTTTACTTCTAATTAATGTATATTCCTGTCCCAGGTAGAGGAGGGGCTGTTACTCCATCAACTTTTAGACATTCAGGAGCTACTTCATTAGGGGGGACTTTGTTCTCTGGCCAAGAAATCACTTTGTATAACTTCATTGGAATTCTGCAGATCATTGGACCAGAAACACAGGTGTCTAAAAATCCCACCACCTATTAATCACAAAAACAAACATACAAGGGAGAGACAGACAGGAAGTCCAGCCTCAGTTGCCTCTGCTGTGCAGGTGCATCTCATCTGTCCCGACTGTGTCAACGGACGGCTGCTGGTTGGCCCCTGACATCTCCCCCTTTTTAATTTTTTAAGAGCAAGGTTTCCTCTTCTAATTGTACTCCTCTGATTCCTCTTGCAAGGAGTCGGAAGGCGACTGGAAGAAGACAGATTCCAATGAGCACAACTCCAATGATAAGTGCCAAATTAATTACGAAGAATATGAAATCTTGACAATTGATAAAGGTTTTAAGTTTATTTAAAAAATCAGCTGCTACTTGAGACACGGGTAGAAGAGCGCTGTTAGAGTTACTAATATCCTGAATTTCCTGATGTAAAGTTTTTAGATCTAAACCTATATCACTATTATTCTAAATACCTTGCAAATTATTATGATGTTGGGAATTCTTAAGAAAGTGAAACTGTCATTAGTTTGCAGGGTAATATGAGAATTGGACTCTCCTCCTAGCAGCTTGGTGTTATTTATAAAGACGGGGATATTTTCAGTTTCCCACTTTGCCAATTGAAGGATAGCAGGTTCAGGGATATATGCCCAATGTGTTTTTCCTAAAGAGAAAGTAAAAGATACCTGATACACGAGCACAGCTAACAAGGCAACAAACACGGTAGAAGGGGTTTTAGCCGCATGCTGCTCAGTAACAATCTTTTCTGCTTCCTCAGTGAGTGCCTTGATCCGGCCCCAAGTAAGGGGCTTGGTGCTACTGTGGATCGGTCTAGGCGGCTTCCGTCTTTTAGGCTCAGGTTACAGAGTGGTGGAATCAGCTGGCTTGCCCAGAGGGGTGCTCAGATTAGAAACGTCAGCCCTCCTGGGAGAGCTGATGGAAGTTTCTGTGTGGAGTGCTTGCTGGCAGTGGAGGTGGCGGAGTTGGACGCGCGGCGGTTGTCTATAGGGTCGGATTAGACGGTCTGGCCTCCATCTGGGGAAAGACACAAGCATGTCCTCTTTCCCAGGTTGGAACCACATCGGGACCCTTCCATGGCCCGGTGAGCACGTCTTTCCATTTCACCAAAGGCTTAGGTTTATTATTCTCCAGATTCCAATGTTTTTGGAAGTTTGTACTTCCGTCGGGGTTGGCATTGAGGAAATAAAGAACAAAAAGAGCATGATGTAAAATCTGATGCGGGAAGCAGTACTTCAACTCTCTTTCCTGCAGTTTTTGCACTTGGATTTTTTAAGTCTGATGAGCTCGTTCCACTACAGCTCGCCCGGGGTTATAGGGAATGCCAGTGCCATGTACTATACGGACAGTAATACAAAAGTTTCTGAAGGCTTTACCAGTATCAACAGGGGCATTGTCTGTTTTCAAAGCCTTGGGCATTCCCAGGTAAGAAAATGTCTGAAATAGATGTTGTACTACATCTTTGTAAGCTTCTCTGGTCCTTGCAGAAGCAACAATAGCACGTGAGTAGGTATCAACACACGTGCACACAGCCGAGTTTACCAAAAAATGGGATGTGAGTAACATCCATCTGTCAGAGATCACTGGGTCTAAGTCCTTGAGGACTAACTCCGGCACTAAGACAAGAACTATGAGTAAGGCAATGACCACAGTTGTGTACAATATTACGAGCAGATTCTCTAAGTATATGGAACCGTAATCTGAGTGCAGAAGCATTTTGGTGATGTAGGGCATGAGACTTAGTAGCCTCTTCTACTGCTGATAAGGAGATAATATTTTGAGTTAATAAATCAGCTCTCCTATTTCCTTCATGGAGAGGTCCCGGGATGGAAGTATGAGCTCGAATATATCCTACAAAGAAGGGTTGTGTTCTCTGATGAATATGCTTTTGTAAGGCTTGTAACAAAGGAAAGATAGTTGTTTTATTGTCTGGCAATGAAGCAGTTTCAATGTGAGGAAATAAACGAGCAATGTACTGAGAGTCAGTGTATAAATTAAAAGGGACATGCTCTAATTGAGAAAATGCAAAAATGACGGCCACAATTTCAGTTCTTTGGGCAGAGGTTTCTGTAGTTTGGTTAATAAATAGTATACTATTAATAATAGTTACTGCCTTTCCATTGGATGAACCATCAGTAAAAACTAAGGTGGCAGGAGGGGAAACAGGGTACACGGTGTCCTGTTTGGAAAAGCGACAGGATGTTCGTTTCAGAACTGCAGTAAAGGATGTGGCGGAAGGCGGAATGGCACCTGTCCAGTGAAAGAGCCAAGTGCAGTATGCCAGTCCTCATGAAACCGGAAGAAGAACTGCAGCTGCTCTTTGCTGTGGGGTGTAATAATTTTGGACATTTCTACTCCAAAGAATTCTCTACTTCTTAATCTCCCCTTAGATGTTAACGTGGGAACCAGAGAAGGGTATGACATTACAATTCTTTTTTGTGATACAGGCAAATGAATCCATTCTAGAGGGCCATCTTGCCAAAAACATCCTGTTGGTTTACGTGGTGTGGATAAGATGATTAGTAGCCAGCATTTGTAATAATTCCGGTGGCAAAGACTTTATTTATAGCCTTGTTCTACCTTAGACAAGGTTACCTCAGCTTCTGTGATGAGATTATGTGGAGAGCTAGGGTCCGAGTCACCCCTAAGTATGTCAAATAAAGGTTTAAACTCGGCTGTAGTCAGCCATAAGTAGGGCCTAATCCAATTAATATCTCCAAGAAATTTCTGGTAATCATTTAGTGTATTTAATGTATCTTTTCTTAATTGCACAGGCTGATAGGTGACTGTGTTAGTGTGTAGTATCCAGCCCAGGTAAGAAAATGGCAGTCCTATCTGGAATTTTTCAGGTATGACCTTTAATCCATAAGCTTGTAAAGTGTCAACTGTCGTTATTAGAACTGTCTGCAAATGACTTTGATTAGGGTGGGCTAATAAGATGGCATTCATATAGTGTATAATGTACACATCTGGGTGACATTTTCTTTTTTAAAAAAATTTATTTATTTTTAGACGGAGGGGAAGGGAAGGAGAG